AGGGCGGGTGCGCAGCTCAGCTTTGCGCCAAGTGTGTTGCAGTCTTGTTTTCTGTTTTCTCGCCATGCAAGGTGGCTCCTAAGATTAAAAGCCTTCACGTCTTGACATTTCATTAGTTGTTGGTTGCCCTGGGCGCGCCGTTGCAGTGCGCACTTTCATGCTGGCCAGATTGCGGGTCGCCGGCTTGGATCTTTATTGTGCTGCCGAAACAGTTTGCATGCCTGGCTTTCGTCTGATTAGCTGCCTTCATTCCGAGTCCGTCCTGCTCACTCTTCTATTGTTTTCCTTGCCGCGAACGAGGTGCACTTGCAGGGCAGCACGAAGCAAAGAGCCAAGCTGCACCTCGCTCCACGTTTGCGCATTTGTTGGGCTACAGACAGCACGTTGCAGTCCGGATCTGAACCACCGCTTGGCAATGTTTCGTACTGGGGCAATGTTCTCTGTGCTAGGGTCTTTTCTTGGTCTTGCAGATGTTTCTTGCACAACTGAGGCACATGGACCGCCCACATGCGCGCGTGAGGGCTGCGCCAATCCAACTTTCAACGGGAAAGTTGGGGAGTTCTGAGCCTGGGCAAGAGTTCATCATTGCCATGGTTCGGGTGCTGGGTGCTTCATGGTGCAAGTTGTCCTTAGAGCATCAGTTGAAGCATCTATGATAGCAAAGCCCCACAGATGTAGATGAGGCAGCCGTCAATGCCGGGACGGTCCACTTGGATTTGGTCCCGCAGCATGTCAGAAATTCAGACGAAGTAATTGCAGGGCGTCGTGCGGGCGTCCAACTTGGCAATTGTCCATGATAGCGAGATGAAGTGAGATGGGCCTTGCAAGTGTGACTGCGCCTTTGTACCCGCATGTATGTCTGTGTGTGTGAGTGGCATAATATGACAGCATAAATTTGATACGAGCATTGCTTTGCATACGCTTGCGCGGTCAGCGTCAGAATGTTTGTGTTGGAAGGCCTTTCACGCCGGCGATGCGAGGGCGGGTGCGCAGCTCAGCTTTGCGCCAAGTGTGTTGCAGTCTTGTTTTCTGTTTTCTCGCCATGCAAGGTGGCTCCTAAGATTAAAAGCCTTCACGTCTTGACATTTCATTAGTTGTTGGTTGCCCTTGGCGCGTGCGCGTTGCAGTGCGCACTTTCATGCTGGCCAGATTGCGGGTTGCCGGCTTGGATCTTTATTGTGCTGCCGAAACAGTTTGCAGGCCTGGCTTTCGTCTGATTAGCTGCCTTCATTCCGAGTCCGTCCTGCTCACTCTTCTATTGTTTTCCTTGCCGCGAACGAGGTGCACTTGCAGGGCAGCACGAAGCAAAGAGCCAAGCTGCACCTCGCTCCACGTTTGCGCATTTGTTGGGCTACAGACAGCACGTTGCAGTCCGGATCTGAACCACCGCTTGGCAATGTTTCGTACTGGGGCAATGTTCTCTGTGCTAGGGTCTTTTCTTGGTCTTGCAGATGTTTCTTGCACAACTGAGGCACATGGACCGCCCACATGCGCGCGTGAGGGCTGCGCCAATCCAACTTTCAACGGGAAAGTTGGGGAGTTCTGAGCCTGGGCAAGAGTTCATCATTGCCATGGTTCGGGTGCTGGGTGCTTCATGGTGCAAGTTGTCCTTAGAGCATCAGTTGAAGCATCTATGATAGCAAAGCCCCACAGATGTAGATGAGGCAGCCGTCAATGCCGGGACGGTCCACTTGGATTTGGTCCCGCAGCATGTCAGAAATTCAGACGAAGTAATTGCAGCGCGTCGTGTGGGCGTCCCACTTGGCAATTGTCCATGATAGCGAGATGAAGTGAGATGGGCCTTGCAAGTGTGACTGCGCCTGTGTACCCGCATGTGTGTCTGTGTGTGTGAATGGCATAATATGACAGCATCAATTTGATACGAGCATTGCTTTGCATACGCTTGCGCGGTCAGCGTCAGAATGTTTGTGTTGGAAGGCCTTTCACGCCGGCGATGCGAGGGCGGGTGCGCAGCTCAGCTTTGCGCCAAGTGTGTTGCAGTCTTGTTTTCTGTTTTCTCGCCATGCAAGGTGGCTCCTAAGATTAAAAGCCTTCACGTCTTGACATTTCATTAGTTGTTGGTTGCCCCGGGCGCGTGCGCGTTGCAGTGCGCACTTTCATGCTGGCCAGATTGCGGGTTGCCGGCTTGGATCTTTATTGCGCTGCCGAAAAACAGTTTGCATGCCTGGCTTTCGTCTGATTAGCTGCCTTCATTCCGAGTCCGTCTTGCTCACTCTTCTATTGTTTTCCTTGCCGCGAACGAGGTGCACTTGCAGGGCAGCACGAAGCAAAGAGCCAAGCTGCACCTCGCTCCACGTTTGCGCATTTGTTGGGCTACAGACAGCACGTTGCAGTCCGGATCTGAACCACTGCTTGGCAATGTTTCGTACTGGGGCAATGTTCTCTGTGCTAGGGTCTTTTCTTGGTCTTGCAGATGTTTCTTGCACAACTGAGGCACATGGACCGCCCACATGCGCGCGTGAGGGCTGCGCCAATCCAACTTTCAACGGGAAAGTTGGGGAGTTCTGAGCCTGGGCAAGAGTTCATCATTGCCATGGTTCGGGTGCTGGGTGCTTCATGGTGCAAGTTGTCCTTAGAGCATCAGTTGAAGCATCTATGATAGCAAAGCCCCACAGATGTAGATGAGGCAGCCGTCAATGCCGGGACGGTCCACTTGGATTTGGTCCCGCAGCATGTCAGAAATTCAGACGAAGTAATTGCAGCGCGTCGTGTGGGCGTCCCACTTGGCAATTGTCCATGATAGCGAGATGAAGTGAGATGGGCCTTGCAAGTGTGACTGCGCCTGTGTACCCGCATGTGTGTCTGTGTGTGTGAATGGCATAATATGACAGCATAAATTTGATACGAGCATTGCTTTGCATACGCTTGCGCGGTCAGCGTCAGAATGTTTGTGTTGGAAGGCCTTTCACGCCGGCGATGCGAGGGCGGGTGCGCAGCTCAGCTTTGCGCCAAGTGTGTTGCAGTCTTGTTTTCTGTTTTCTCGCCATGCAAGGTGGCTCCTAAGATTAAAAGCCTTCACGTCTTGACATTTCATTAGTTGTTGGTTGCCCCGGGCGCGTGCGCGTTGCAGTGCGCACTTTCATGCTGGCCAGATTGCGGGTTGCCGGCTTGGATCTTTATTGTGCTGCCGAAAAACAGTTTGCATGCCTGGCTTTCGTCTGATTAGCTGCCTTCATTCCGAGTCCGTCTTGCTCACTCTTCTATTGTTTTCCTTGCCGCGAACGAGGTGCACTTGCAGGGCAGCACGAAGCAAAGAGCCAAGCTGCACCTCGCTCCACGTTTGCGCATTTGTTGGGCTACAGACAGCACGTTGCAGTCCGGATCTGAACCACCGCTTGGCAATGTTTCGTACTGGGGCAATGTTCTCTGTGCTAGGGTCTTTTCTTGGTCTTGCAGATGTTTCTTGCACAACTGAGGCACATGGACCGCCCACATGCGCGCGTGAGGGCTGCGCCAATCCAACTTTCAACGGGAAAGTTGGGGAGTTCTGAGCCTGGGCAAGAGTTCATCATTGCCATGGTTCGGGTGCTGGGTGCTTCATGGTGCAAGTTGTCCTTAGAGCATCAGTTGAAGCATCTATGATAGCAAAGCCCCACAGATGTAGATGAGGCAGCCGTCAATGCCGGGACGCTCCACTTGAATTTGGTCCCGCAGCATGTCAGAAATTCAGACGAAGTAATTGCAGCGCGTCGTGTGGGCGTCCCACTTGGCAATTGTCCATGATAGCGAGATGAAGTGAGATGGGCCTTGCAAGTGTGACTGCGCCTGTGTACCCGCATGTGTGTCTGTGTGTGTGAATGGCATAATATGACAGCATAAATTTGAGACGAGCATTGCTTTGCATACGCTTGCGCGGTCAGCGTCAGAATGTTTGTGTTGGAAGGCCTTTCACGCCGGCGATGCGAGGGCGGGTGCGCAGCTCAGCTTTGCGCCAAGTGTGTTGCAGTCTTGTTTTCTGTTTTCTCGCCATGCAAGGTGGCTCCTAAGATTAAAAGCCTTCACGTCTTGACATTTCATTAGTTGTTGGTTGCCCCGGGCGCGTGCGCGTTGCAGTGCGCACTTTCATGCTGGCCAGATTGCGGGTTGCCGGCTTGGATCTTTATTGTGCTGCCGAAAAACAGTTTGCATGCCTGGCTTTCGTCTGATTAGCTGCCTTTTCGTCTAATTAGCTGTCTTGATTCCGAGTCCGTCTTGCTCACTCTTCTATTGTTTTCCTTGCCGCGAACGAGGTGCACTTGCAGGGCAGTACGAAGCAAAGAGCCAATCTGCACCTCGCTCCACGTTTGAGCATTGGTTTTCAACAGACAGCACGTTGCAGTTCTGAACCACCGCTTGGCAATGTTTCGTACTGGGGCAATGTTCTTTGTGCTAGGGTCTTTTCTTGGTCTTGCAGATGGTTTTTGCACAACTGAGGCACATGGACCGCCCACATGCGCGCGTGAGGGCTGCGCCAATCCAACTTTCAACGGGAAAGTTGGGGAGTTCTGAGCCTGGGCAAGAGTTCATCATTGCCATGGTTCGGGTGCTGGGTGCTTCATGGTGTAAGTTGTCCTTAGAGCATCAGTTGAAGCATCTATGATAGCAAAGCCCCACAGATGTAGATGAGGCAGCCGTCAATGCCGGGACGGTCCACTTGGATTTGGTCCCGCAGCATGTCAGAAATTCAGACGAAGTAATTGCAGCGCGTCGTGCGGGCGTCCCACTTGGCAATTGCCCTTGATCGCTAGATGTTCTGTGCAAGCGTGAGTTGTGTCTTTGACTGCCCGTGTGCATCATGTACTTTGCGATCGCATATATGTCTTGCACCTTTTGCTTCGAATTCTCGTGCGCGTGTGCCACTTTGAAAGCACGCAGGTTGCTTGCTTCGTTTGCCCCAGCCAAGGTCAACCATCGTTCTGCTGGAACTCAGCGCCACCAGGGAACAGTTTGAAGCTCGGCTTGGGGTGTTGAGGAGGCCAGCGGCTTGCCGCCAGGGCTCGATGGGAGAGACGCGGGAAGTGACTCGTTGCCCTCAGCAGCTACCACCACTTATACCACAAATGGATGTGTTTTATCCACAATATACGTGTAATATAATTACATGTGTGCCCATACTTGTACTTATTTATAGTGTGTATATGCGCGTGGCCTTGCCAATGATCCCAGCTGCGAGACAGAAACGAATGCGGTGCCAGAGCGATGCGAGAGTGCAGTCCATCAACAACTCTACTATCCAAGTGGCGTGTTTTGCGTATTTGCGTTATCCCTCCACGCGAGCTGCGTCGATTCTTCGAAGACAAAGAGTTAAACTTGTGCTGGCGCCGCGGATGTTCCTTGTTGAATATCCTTTGAGGTGTGTTTGTGCATGATTTTATCTAGAAGGTCTCATAGTCAAACTCCATCAGATCACAAAAGCTGACTTGTCACCAATTTGCCGAGTTGTCGTGGCCAGAGCTTCGAAATTCACGGCCTGAGCCCAACCTCAACGAAACGTGCGCACGGCAAGAACTCATACAGTAACAACTTGGGTGTCGCGCAGGTTTTCCGTCATAGTTTTCGCTGCAGGGCTTTTGAGGTTTTAGTCGCGCCTGTCTTGCTGCCTTAGTTGAGCCACAAAACTGCCAAGATATATGCTGCCACGACCACGTTGGAGTTTCTGACAGGCAGTTGTGTGTAATTAACAAGCATGGTCTGCCGCTTTACTGCACTTAACCGCTCGGCCTTGAAATTGTTTGTGTTTCGCGGCGGTCGCTGGCTGATTCTTGTTTTGGGTACACTTGTGTTGCTAAACAGTGGGACAACTTAAATTGACTGTGTTGTGCTTGTTCAGTTTGTGACTCATAATGTACCTTGAGCCGACCTGTCCTTACACTTGACTTAGACCACACCAAGAAGCAAGAAACTGCTTAAAACCCCAGCGTCCAGCCCGGCTGTCGGAAGCAGTACTTCCTTGACAAGGTAACCTTGGGGCTGCGTTGTTGAACCAGTGTTGTGGTGTCCGAATTGATTGACCAATTAGCCAGACACACATGCGCAGTACGAATGGGAAGCAAAACTTACATTGCCTATGTTCATGTTCAACGCCAACTGCATTTCTAATTGGTCTTTTGGGAATGGTCCGGTGTTCTGACATGTTCATGCGCAAAAAGGAGACACATTGAGATGTTGGAGTTGGGGATTTTCAATGCGGGGCACGCTGCAGACAAAACACCGCGTCGTGTTGTGATTAGTAATTCCCGCATTTGTCTTTGCAAGATTAATTTGTGACCCTTACAACCAATACAACACAAAATGGTTTGGCCCGAAAGCCTCAGTTTCAGACTTTAGGCCGAGGCTAGATGACAACCATGCAAAGCGCGTGTCAAAGCAACGCCCACGCGTGTCGAGCCACAGTGTCCTGCGTAATGCCAGATACGATAAGCATAGCCACTCGTGCAGAATCAGGGCAGCTTTTGCCCAACCCAAATTCACAGACGCCTGATGGCACAACTAGCCCTCGCAGACGAGGGCGCCATCAAAGCAACTTACCCGAAAAGTTCACACACCCGAAATCACACTTGCCCACAACGTGCCAAATGCCATCCATACAAGTCCCACGCAGCTCCAGGCCATTTTGGGCCCGAAAACAATTGACACTCTACTTGGAGCCACACTTTCCTGCAAGATGCCAGCGGTCAGGCATAAAAAGGGCTCGTTGACCCGCGCAAGTTCTGTCCATGCGCAATTCACATCCCTGAAGCCATAGCAGCCCGGAAGATGCAGGGTGCAACGCATCAAGAGGTGCGCGCGCCCAGAATTTGCCCAACCGAAGTTCACACATTGATTGCCCGACCAGTAGCCAAACACCTGAAGCCAAGCAACCCCGCGCGACGCCAAATGCAATGTAAACGCAAAACTCCTGTAACTAAAGCCGGGCTTTCTCGCGAGATGCCAGGCGCTGTTCGCGGCGCTTGGCGCCAAGTCCTTTTGGCCCAATCAAAGAACACACACCTGAAGCCACGCTTTTGCAAAGAGGCCGACTGCCATACGCTCAAAACACGGGCGCGTAGATCCAGGCAATGTTTGCACAAACACGTTTCACACATGGCAAGAGGTACCATCAGAATGCTGTGTGACATTTAAACAGGTCACGGGCGCGTAGATCTAAGCATCTTGCGCCCAAGTAAAACAACTGCACGCCTGGATAGATGTTCTGCTGCGAGACGACACATGCAACGCATAGAAGAAAACACCTAGATCCAGGCAATTGCACACCTCAAGTTGCAATTTTCCACAAGACGCATGCTTTGCAGAAAGCGCAGGCGTGTTGATCCAGACCTTTTTTGGCCCAGGCAACATTCACACACCTAAAGCCACACTTGCCCGCAAGGTGCCAGACGCCATATGTGCAAAAGATTCCAGATGCCACGCACACATACAAGAGATAAATGAGCGTCGACATGCGTCGATCTAGCCAAAACTATGCATTCCAAAAATCGTTTGCCCGAAGGCGCACGGTGAGGCAGAAGTGTGACAGCTTCAGTTCATATAGTGAATCTGCTCAACACAAGCGTAGGTTCACATCACGGAGCAAACACAACTGCCGAATTATGTGGTGGGCACAATAATCGGTTTGACTGCGCAATCCGAAGTTAGAATCCTCGGAGGTCTTGAGCGCAAGGGTTCTAATTAGTTTGAACTGGTTGTGTGATCGTATGTTCGGTGTATGTTCAGTGCGATTTGTCAGGTTGGGCGATTTGTCAAATTGATCATATTATAGAATGAATCGTACACTTTGGCCTTGGCCAAAGGCGCTCAGGAAACTGGTGCCGGACTGCGCTTGGACCTGGCTAGTGCGGGGAGCTTGAACTTGGCCCTGAGAGAGCAGTTCATTCAATATGTGCATCACGTGTGAGAACAACTCATGATATTGATTATGTAATTGTAACCTGACACAGCGTAATTGAACAATGCGAGACAATTCATGCAAACGCAGTGTAACGTATGTACAGCCGAATTGGACAAGCTCATCAGTTTTTGGGTAATTACAGAGCCACTAATGGGTCAACTGATAAGGGCAACAGGCCGGTTGATATGTCCCTCCCCTTTGTTGATATGTGACAGTGTTCTTAGACTTCTGCGTAGTGCAGGGTGCAGGGATTGCCCTGTTTGTGGGTTTGCCTTCCTTCGTGCCAGACAGTCACTCAGCGTCGCATTTGGGCAGCCCCTCGGCCCCTCGGGGCTTCCGGGAGAGTTGGCGCTCCATGCGTCAGGAGATGGCCCGCAGAGGGCTTTGAGCTGGGCTCGGACAGTGCAAAGGCCACATTGCGCGGCTTGCAGTTGCACGACTTTCGAACAGGGCTAGACAGGAAATGCTTCGAACAATGACCCGGCTGATACGCGGGCTTGAAGATTCCCAGCCCGTTTTACTGTCACATATGTAAAAGCTGACATGCCATGAGTCCCACTGGTGCTGCTGCTGCTGCTGCTGCTGTTGTTGTTGTTGCTGCTGCTGCTGCTGTTGTTGTTGTTGTTGTTGTTGTTGTTGTTGTTGTTGTTGTTGTTGTTCTTGTTCTTGTTCTTGTTCTTGTTCTTGTTCTTGTTCTTGTTCTTGTTCTTGTTCTTGTTCTTGTTCTTGTTCTTGTTCTTGTTCTTGTTCTTGTTCTTGTTCTTGTTCTTGTTCTTGTTCTTGTTCTTGTTCTTGTTCTTGTTCTTGTTCTTGTTCTTGTTGATGTTGTTGGTGGTGGTGGTGTTGTTGTTGGTGGTGGTGTTGTTGTTGTTGTTGTTGTTGTTGTTGTTGTTGTTGTTGTTGTTGTTGTTGTTGTTGTTGTTGTTGTTGTTGTTCTTGTTGTTGTTGTTGCTGATGTTGTTGGAGTTGTTGTTGTTGATGTTGTTGGTAACGGGCGCGTAACGACCCGTACGTTTTCGTGTACTTCGCTCCAAAAAACAGCCGCTCCTTTTTTTGAGCACGCTGTGGGAGAAGCTCAGAAGCTCACCAGCGAAGCATTAGTAGAACAGCAATCATCAGAAGCAAAGCAATATTGATAAATATTCATATATATGTATATACACGGTATAACTCTCTCTCTATACATGTACACACCTGGCGCATGGTAAGAACCCCCGCTCAAGTGCACCCGCTCAGCACTGTATCCATGCTTGCCAAATGGTAAGAACCCTCGCTCAAGTGCACCCGCTCAGCACTGTATTCATGCTTGCCAAATGGTAAGAGCCCCCGCTCAAGTGCACCCGCTCAGCACTGTATCCATGCCTGCCAAATGGTAAGAACCCCCGCTCAAGTGCACCCGCTCAGCACTTGGACAAGCTTGCGCAGACATTAGGATGTGACACGGGAAGGAAAGCATGCTCACAAAAAGGAGCCGCGCGCGAAAACGTACGGGTCGTTACGCGCCCGTTACCATGTTGTCGTTGTTGTTGTTGTTGTTGGTGGCGTTGGTGTTGGTGTTGGTGTTGGTGTTGGTGTTGTTGTTGTTGCTGTTGCTGTTGCTGTTGCTGTTGATGTTGTTGTTGTTCCCTCCGAACCGAGATAACGCCGCGCTCTGCACCGTCACAAAACACTGCAAATAGCAGTGTTTTGTTGCATCGCACGTAAAAAACACCGGTATTTGCAGTGTTTTGTGACCTTCCCGCTCGTCCCGTTCAGCACGCGCTGAAAACACCGCAAATACGAGCATTTTCTTGTCTCGGCGCGGAAATCATCGCAAATACCAGTGTTTTTTCTGGCGTCACTTACGCAACAACACTGCCAGGTACACATCAGCACTGCACACATGCCTGGCACATGATAAGCACACCCGCTCACGCGCATCATCTCAGGACTGCGCACATGCCTGGCACATGATAAGCACACCCGCTCGCGCATCATCTGTTTTTTGGGGGAAGAGCAATCCTTGTTTTTGGTTTCTCACAACTGTGCCAAAACTCATGTGCTGAGGTCCAGCGCTGACTTTGCCATCGTTTGACCAAAACAACCCCCTCCTTCAAGCGCCTCTACTTTTGACGATTGGAACCGCCAAAAACACCGCTATGTGCAGTGTTTTGTAAGGTTTCAACTGGCTTCTCTCTTGGTGGCCGCGGCGTTATGTCGCCTCGGGCCGTTGTTGTTGTTGCTGTTGCTGTTGCTGTTGCTGTTGTTGTTGTTGTTGTTGTTGTTGTTGTTGTTGTTGGTTTGTTGTTGTTGTTGTTGTTGTTGTTGTTGGTGGTGTTGTTGTTGCTGCTGCTGCTGTTGTTGTTGTTGTTGTTGCTGTTGTTGTTGTTGTTGTTGTTGTTGTTGATGATGTTGCTGTTGCTGTTGTTGTTGTTGTTGTTGTTGTTGGTGTTGGTGTTGGTGTTCGTGTTGTTGTTGTTGTTGTTGTTGTGGTTGTTGTTGTTGTTGTTGTGGTTGTTGTTGTTGTTGTTGTTGGTGTTGGTGTTGGCGTTGGTGTTGGTGTTGGTGTTGGTGTTGGTGTTGGTGTTGTTGTTGTTGCTGTTGATGTTGGTGTTGTTGGTGTTGTTGTTGTTCTTGTTGGTGTTGGTGTTGGTGTTGTTGGTGTTGGTGTTGTTGGTGTTGTTGTTGGTGTTGTTGGTGTTGTTGGTGTTGTTGGTGTTGTTGGTGTTGTCGGTGTTGTTGTTGGTGTTGGTGTTGGTGTTGTGGTTGTTGCTGTTGATGTTGGTGTTGGTGGTGTTGTTGGTGGTGTTGGTGGTGTTGGTGTTGGTGTTGGTGTTGGTGTTGGTGTTGGTGTTGTGGTTGTGGTTGTGGTTGTGGTTGTTGTTGTTGTTTGTTGGTGGTGGAGGTGGTGGTGGTGGTGGTGGTTGTTGGTGTTGTTGTTGTTGTTGTTGTTGTTTTGCTGTTGTTTTGCTGTTGCTGTTGCTGTTGTTGTTGCTGTTGCTGTTGGCGGTGGTGGTGGTGGTGGTGCTGGTGGTGGTGGTGTTGTTGTTGTTGATATTGTTGTTGCTGCTGTTGTTGCTGATGTTGTTGTTGTCGTTGTTGTTGTGAGTGTTGTTGTTGGTGGTGTTTTTGTTGTGTTTGTGGCTGTGGCTGTGATTGTTGTTGTTGTTGCTGCTGCTGTTGTTTGTTTTGTTGTTTGCTTGTTTGTTTGTTTGTTTGTTTGTTTGTTAGTTTTTGATTGGATTGCTGGGTTTGCTTGTTTGTTTTGTTTGTTTTGTTTGTTTTGTTTGTTTGTTTGTTTGCTTGCTTGTTTGTTTGTGTGTGTTTGTGTGTGTTTGTGTGTGTTTGTGTGTGTTTGTGTGTGTTGTTTGTTTATTTTGTTGTTTCATTGATTGATTGATTGATTGATGGATTGTTTGTCGTCGTTGGTGGTGTTGGTGTTGGTGTTGTTGCTGTTAGTGGCCTTGGTTGTGGTGGTGGTGGCGGCGGCGGTGGTGGTGGTAGGAGTGCGGTTGCGGTTGCGGTTGCGGTTGCAACTGCGGTTGAAGTTGCAGTTGTTGCTGCTGTTGCTGTTGTTGTTGCTGTTGCTGTTGCTGTTGCTGTTGCTGTTGCTGTTGCTGCTGCTGTTGCTGTTGCTGTTGCTGCTGCTGTTGCTGTTGCTGTTGCTGTTGCTGCTGTTGTGAGCGCAGTGTTTGTTCACTGCGCGTGCGAGTTGGGCTCTTCTGCAATCCTGAGGGTGCCTGGCAAACCCGGCAATGTGATTAGCTTAATTGTTGCGGTGTTTGAGTGTGCCTTCCATGTCTTAAGCAGGTGTTTCTTTGATATGCGGCTATGCCTCAAAAGCAAAACAGTGCAGCCGAAGGTTTCCGGTGCAACAAGCGCAATGTGGTCGCACTGCGTGCTTGTCAGGTTGGTTGTCCACAACCAAACCAACCTGTGGCCTAGCGACCCTTGTTTGCGTAGCTTTCACGCGGGTGTGCAAGTTGTTGACTGGGCACAGCAGTGTTGGCATAGTTTGCCAGTGAATTGAGCACGTTTTCGTTGGAATTTGATTTCAAATTGAGGCCAACACTGTGCCAACGTGCGTGCTTGGATAGGACTCGCTTTATGTTTGTCTCTGAGAAGTGTTTATGTACAACGGCAAGACTGGGGCAAGACCGAGGAAGATTGAGCGCGTCGCTATGTGCGTTGAATGTTTGCACGCGCACTTTGTTCTTTGGCAGGCTTGTAAACAGATATTTGATGCAGCCGCAAAGCCATTGGATTTTCTGTGCAGGACAGTTGGATTATTCGCAATAGGCTACCAAACGCAGCTGGCACCGTTCCGAGGCAGCGCCACTGGCAGTTCAAAGGGGCAACCAATTTCGTCTCCTTACGCCACGGTGTGCCTCCAACATGCTTTACAAGACTCCAACTGAGCCTGGGTTTGGGATTTATTTACCACAACCTGTAATGGGAAGCCTGTGATCAACAAAAAGGAGAGCAACGTTCAACCTACCACATAAGATGGAGAACAAGCTGTAAAGCTAGTCCAGTGCGGATCCAGCCGCTCCTTGTCAGCCAACTTTCAGCTCCCATTCCTCTTCCGCCACTTCCGCGTTGCTCATTCCCAAGGAGAAAACAACATTTATTCTCTCTCGTGTCATTCTGTGTAACCTTGGTTGCCTCGGCTCCTCTCGCAGAAGGGTCAATTGGGCTCCGGCTGGGCGCATCGATCAGTTGTTAATGAGACTTTCCAAGAAGACATTGCGAACTATCAACAGATCTCGACAGTCTTTGGGCCAGGAAGCCAGGCTGCGATCTGAACATTCTACGCCCACAGGCATCAAGGATGGTTGAAGAGGATAAAGCTTCAAAGTTGCACCAATCTCTAGATGTGTTCACTCCTTTGGCATGAACATGATTCTTGGCTTTTCGAAGCAAAGCTCTTATCCAGATTTGCTCGAATTACCTTCAAGGTGGCTCAAGGTGTCCGCAAAGTGTGCCGACCGAAGCACCGCAACGCGGATGGCTTACTTCCACGGCTTCAGCAGAGGCCGACCTCTAAGGCATTGTTTTGCATCAAGTTTGGCGCTCCGCTTTGCTGCAATTCATTTGTGCATGTTATACATGCACGAATGCATATGTACATAGATATATATATATATGTATATAGATAGACATATTGCCCCCCAAAGGAAAACAAACAGTTCGAACTGAATCCACTGGTACTTGCAGCATGTTTAGTTCATTGGCGTACCTGCTGGAGTGTGGCGATTTGTTTACGGGCACATGGCCATGTAAGGGTACAGCCTGAGGGATCACTTTGTCAAGGACAATGCCATGGGACAGTCTTTGCAAGGCTTTCCTTCGGCGTTTTGGCAGCTTGGGTGCAACTAAAAGACTTGAGTGGGTTGGAACCTGATTTTGGACGCGGGGTAGCATGCGTGCTGTATACCCAAGTATATATTTACATATATATATATATATATATGTACACGCAGGTATAGGCTTGTACATTGCATCTATATTTCAGACTCAGACTGCTCGCTGTGGGAGGTGGCTCGGGCTATGCTCCGGACTTTGAGGGCAATGAGTCATCAGATGATGAGGCAAGAGCCCGGAGAGTTGTTCCTTTCCTAAGTTACCTTGCATGTTCAAATCTCAGAGCTTCCGCAAGTCATTTGCTTTATTTGTTGAGCTTTCGACTGCACCAAGCACAAATCCTGGCTGGCCACCCCGTTCGGAAATGTCGAACGATTCCCTGACACGGCGCAGTTTCAGAGGAGAGTAGGGAGTTCCGTTCGCCTGGGCGGTAGCGTGCGGGTTACATTGATGTTTTGTATCAGCCTCGCGCGAAGCTAGACTAAATACTGCAGTGGAGAGTGCGAGCCCGTGAAAGCAAGCCTGTATGCCGCAACGTAAAAAGGATTCACAGGAATGAAGCTTGACGACATTGTTATACAGAGTTTCAATCTGAGGCTGCAGGTGTGACTTGCGCCCGCCCCGGGTGCTCAAAGCCGCCCTGGAACGGCGCACAGGGCGAGTACTGTGGCCCGGCCAGCATTCCGCGAAGCATTTCCAGGTGAACCGGCGACACCTTGCTTCCGCTGTTCCATTTGCATCCCTGTGATGCTGATGGAGTGTACTCTGCGTGGCTGTTGGTTTGGTGGGTCAGTAACTGGTTTCTTTCTGAGGTGGCAGATCGTGCCGAGACAGCTCAACTTCTGCCGTGCCAACTGCAGCAGCTGCTTCACAGGCGTTTGGGTGTTACACGTACTGTTGTTGCGCCCGTGAACTAGAGTGCTTTTCCTGCAAGAGTCATCGCTCCTGCGGCCTGAAAGAAAGAGAGGGAGTGGCGCAGTTTCTTATCACTGGCGTAGACAATTGCCCCAGATCGGACTGTGTGTGTTTTGTCAAGCTGTAGCAAGTTTGCCAGCTGGTGCTTGTTTTGCGTGGCCAAGACTGGAGTCTTTGAGTATTGTGCCTGGCTGGCAGCTAAGGCTGCAGGTGTGACTTGCGCCCGCCCCGGGTGCTCAAAGCCGCCTTGGAACGGCGCACAGGGCGAGTACTGTGGCCCGGCCAGCATTCCGCGAAGCATTTCCAGGTGAACTGGCGACACCTTGCTTCCGCTGTTCCATTTGCATCCCTGTGATGCTGATGGAGTGTACTCTGCGTGGCTGTTGGTTTGGTGGGTCAGTCAGTAACTGGTTTCTTTCTGAGGTGGCAGATCGTGCCGAGACAGCTCAACTTCTGCCGTGCCAACTGCAGCAGCTGCTTCACAGGCGTTTGGGTGTTACACGTACTGTTGTTGCGCCCGTGAACTAGAGTGCTTTTCCTGCAAGAGTCATCGCTCCTGCGGCCTGAAAGAAAGAGAGGGAGTGGCGCAGTTTCTTATCATTGGCATAGACAATTGCCCCAGATCGGACTGTGTGTGTGTTTTGTCAAGCTGTAGCAAGTTTGCCAGCTGGTGCTTGTTTTGCGTGGCCAAGACTGGAGTCTTTGAGTATTGTGCCTGGCTGGCAGCTAAGGCTGCAGGTGTGACTTGCGCCCGCCCCGGGTGCTCAAAGCCGCCTTGGAACGGCGCACAGGGCGAGTACTGTGGCCCGGCCAGCATTCCGCGAAGCATTTCCAGGTGAACTGGCGACACCTTGCTTCCGCTGTTCCACTTGCATCCCTGTGATGCTGATGGAGTGTACTCTGCGTGGCTGTTGGTTTGGTGGGTCAGTAACTGGTTTCGTTCTGAGGCGGCAGATGGTGCCAACTACAGCAGCTGGTTCACAGGCAATCGATTGTTGCGCCCACTGCTCTTGCCACAAGGCTTGAAAGATTTGTCAAGATACATGTACTACAGTTTGCATTGCATTGACTGCACTACATGTCAGTCTTGTATGCACGACTACAGGCCTTGAGCTCTCGAGTTATTTGCATAAAACAGGAGCGGCAGATACTACAGGTTTGTGTTATTGAAACAGCACTACAAAAGGACTTCCACTTTAACGTGGTAGCGGAGCTGAGATCCTACTCAAAGGGGGGATCCAAGTAGTAACGACTACAGTAGCACCACAGTATGCCCAACTACTACGACATGACAACAGGAGACCAAGCAGTGGCAGCAGCAAGCTCATCAGAAACTACAACAACAACAAGACAGCCTCAGAGAGCAGCAGGAACACCAGCAGTACCAGCAGTACCACCATCACCAGCTACAGGAACAATCGGAGCAACAACAACAGGAACAACAGAAGGTGATGTACAACGACTGCACAAGCACAAACTACCACCGCCCCACTTCAATGGCGATTACCCCAACTACGATGAATGGAGATTCAAGCTACAAGCTTACCTGGGACTCATCGACAACGAGTTCGACACAGTGCTACAATTAGCTGACAGAGCCACAACCACAGTAGAAGATCAACACCTCATCAACGAGGTACTACCAGATATGACAAGAGGCACCAAACTCGTCAACCTTGCCCGCGACCTGCACTACATACTAATCAGCATATGCCAAGGCCCAGCAGCTACAGTCGTCAGACAGAACCGCTACACAGCCAATGGTTGTGAAACACTGCGACTCTTGAACAACAGGTTCAGCCTACCCATTGGAACACGAAGCGTTGGCTACTTGACCAAACTACTGAAGCCCTCGTTTCCAGAACAACAATTCGAAGAACAGTTCCTACAATGGGAGTACGACATCAACCGCTACGAGAAAGACAGCGGAGCGCCACTACCAGACGGAGTGAAGATAGCAGTCCTGATGAATGAGACTAAGGAGCACTACAACAGCATCTACAACTACGAGCTGGAACAATGCGCACCTACGCAGCTGTACGTGAAGTAGTAATCGAATACTACAGAACGATTTGGGCATTTTCCAAGATGAACGCCACTACATCGTCATCAATCGGCAGCAACTACACAAATGTGGAAGATACGGACACTACGCTGCAGACTGCAGAATGGCAATTTGGCAACTACATTCGGGAGAGCCACGCAAGAAGACTACGATCACGAATCGGAAGACAACTACGAGCAAGACTGGGAAAACTACGCACCTGCAGACTATGCAGACGACACAGGTGACAACTGGCAAGTGATAGAGATACACTACGACTACGAACAACCAGAACAAGACTGGTGGAACTACGAAGAGCCATACGACGGAACAGGTGACTACGATGGCACACACGACATCAGCGGAATCAGTGACAGGCATATAATAGGCCACTACAGCCTGAATCGAAACGGCTTCTACAAGAAAGTCCCGCACACGACGAGCTGGGATGACCGCTGCAAGAAATATGACAACTACCTTCGGCCAGACAAGCGTGCAGAACAACAAAGCAAAAGTTCAGAACTAGCGCATCTCTACAGGAGAGCAACATCATATGCACAACGACCACAAGACTAAATACACTACCTACTACAAGACTCCGGAGCATCCACGCATGTTTGCCCCAGAGACTACGCACCTGACTTACCACTTCGACCATGCACCACTACCCCACAACTCTACACAGTCACGAACATACAGATACCTGTCTACGGAATCAAGTACGTGCCCTACCACAAGGACAACTTCAAGATTATGATTCCCTACTACGTTTGTGACGTGAAGTACCCGATCCTGAGCGCACCAAGGCTACTGGATCGTGGCTACAACCTCAAACTGGATACACAACGACAAAGAGGACTCTGTTGGCCATCAGCAGGACCTACATTCCCAAGGGTCACGAACTACAACCGTTCATGGACCATGATGGAGTCATGAAAGCTGTGATACAGCCAATCACTACGAACAACAACTGGCCACAACACAACACCATAGCACCACTGACGCATACAGACCAAGGACTACAAAGAATCCTTGGAGGAAACACTGACTACTGGCAACTCGATGGCAACTACGCTGTCAGAGGAAAGCGCTCTACACGCCAGAGAACTCTGGATGCCCAATACCTACAGAACAACTCGACGACTGGAGACAAACTACGGTTGTCAGAAATGGTAAAGAGTCAGAGATACTACAGGACAACGTGAAGCAGCTACTCTCCAAAACCGAACTTCACAAGCGACTACCCGGCGACGACTGGGTTGGCGAAACTAGGTTTAGGAGGAAGATGAATCCTACACAAAGGATCACTACAATTCCAAGACAAAGCTCACAAGCACAACCAGAACAACAGCCCACTACTGCAAAACGAACATCACTCACACTGCGCACTCAACAAAAGGTTTGGAGACCTAAAGCACAACCATCACAACCAGCCAACATAGATCCTACAGTACCTACATCCAAAATGACCAGACCACCAACACAACGAGAGGACAAGCAAGACTACTGGGAACGACAAGGCGAACATTGGATCAGACATCACTTGGTACCACGCACTACAATGTTCACTCCAACCGATGGCCCAGGACAACCACCAACAGATTCACTCGAACCCTACAGAACTACCATCACTACAAACAACTTCAACGAAGTCAAACAACACAAGGATGAATGGACAACAGCTGGCAATGTAAACCTACCTTACACTTGGACCGGCGCTACACGGTTCACAGTGAAGGAAGGATACCACTACGCGGATGACAGCATCCTTGTAGATGATGAACAACACGTGGAAGCACAACGAGCAAAAGGACTACGGCAACCACGGAAACCTACACCACAAGAAGTTCATGAACATGAACTCACACACCTTCCCTACAGAGACTGGTGTCCAGCCTGTGTACAAGGTAGAGGGAGACAAGACAACTACAAGACACAACACGAACGACTACCAGTCACACAGGTCGACTTCGCCTACATCAAGACTAACCAAGAGAAACGACCAACACCTGTACTGACAGCAGTTGATGTGACTACACAACTGTGCGTGGCTTGCCTCATACCTGACAAGTCATCCATGATGGACTACATGGTCAATAGCCTACAAGCATTCATTCTGGAATGCGGTCGCACAAATGGAATACTACAAAGCAACAACGAGGATACACTCAACGTACTACTCAAAACCACTGCAGCAAAGGCCGGATCCATGACGGTAAGAAACTCACCAGCCTACAGCAGCAACAGCCAGGGAAGTGTCGAGCGACTACATCGAACACTACCTGGACAGATACGCACTGACAAGGCACAAGTTGAGCACAACTACCCGACAACGACCATCAACGTGCAGCACCCACTACTACCGTGGATTGTACGCCACGCTGCATGGACTATCAATCGCTACGTTGTTCGCTCCGACGGCTACACCAGCTTCGAACGACGCTGGGGACGAAACTACGAACGTGCAATCGTAGAGTTCGGAGAAACACTACTCTACATGCCACCACAGCATAAGAACCTACCGAAAGCCGAACTACGAATGCAGAAATGCATCTGGCTAGGTAAGGTTTCGGAAACAGGCGAAAACTACGTGGCAACCGAACAAGGAGTGACGAAAGCGCGCACAGTGAGGAGACTACAGCCGGACTTCAAGTACGACCTCGCACTACTGAACAAGATAACCGGAACTCCATGGGCACCAAGACGCAACACCTACGACCCGAAGTTCACTACACTCCTCGAAACGATGTCACCACTATACCACCGTCGCAGCCTTCACGACCACCGCAACGTGACGCAGGACAACAGACGAACGCTGAAGACGACGTAACAACAACCACCGAGCAAGCAAGCGCGAACTACAGAACGCGCAACACTCCCTTCGACGAAACCTGCAACAGGCTCGTCAAGCACACAACTACCGGACTCACCAATTGCAACATCACCGACGTAGATATCCACCACTACCAGCGCCACCAGCAACAGCAAGACCACTACGAAGACTAAGCCAAGACGAAGTCATGCAGCCAAGCAAAGCGCCAAAGACTGCAGAAGGAACTACTGTCAGAACAGCAGAACAAGACACTACCGAACCACCGGCACAACGACAACGAATCAACATGGTAGCAGCAGTCGAACTAGATGGAACTACGGTTCAGTCGCACACAAACGACGACCCTACCGAACAACAACCGATCATCTTCGACAACGAAGGATTCGACGAATCCAAACTACTGGAAGGAATGAAGACGGAGGCCAACCAAATGAAACTACACGAAGTCTACGACGAAGTAGACATCTCTACACTCGACCCTGCAACCGTACATGAGGCGATACCCACAAGATGGGTACATCGCGATAAAGGTACTACGGTACGCTCACGCATCGTCGCAAAAGTCTACAACGAGAAGGTGGAAGACGAAGACTCAGTCTACGCGTCTACACCAATGTTCACGATGCTACGAGTGCTAGTACTCATGCAACTTGCACTACCGCATTGGGTTGCACGTCTAGGTGACGTATCTACAGCCTTTCTACACGCACCACTTTCACAGCACAACGAAAAGCCAACCTACAATTGGCCACCGAAAGAATTGTGTCCACAACAGGACAAACTGTGGCGACTACGAAAAGCAATGTACGGACTACGCAGTTCACCGAAAGCATGGCAGGACTACCTGGCACAAGTCCTACATTACTTGGCTTCAAGCGACTAAAGTTGGAACCCAACGTCTACGTCTCTCCAGACAGAGACTGCTACATCATGGTGTACGTCGATGACCTACTGGTTCTCGGAGACAAGGCTACAACGGATAAGACCTTCGAAGCCGTACAGAAACGAGTGCTACTTAAGCACATCGGCTACATCGAACCATAACATCCACAACAATTCCTTGGAAGGATCATCGAACACCACGGTGACTACATCACACTGGGTTTGGCTAACTCCTACATCAACGACATCATCGAAGAAGCCAGCCTTAAGAACTGCAATCCAGTGGCTACACCTGGAATAGCACACTACAAGCCCACTGTGGAAGATGAAGCACTACTGGATCAAGAACAACACCGCAGATACAGACGTGTAGTAGGACAACTACAATGGCTTGCCTACACACGACCGGACATTGCCTACGCCACCAAAGAACTAGCAAGAGACCTCACAGCACCTACAGAACTCTCCAACAAAAGGGCAAAACATCTACTACGGTACCTTCAAGGAACCCAACACTACAAGTTCATAATACAACCAACCACTACACTCGAAGTCCAGCACCAACAACTGCCTCGACCTTGAAATACATGTCGATGCTGATTGGGCAGGATGCCCAACTACACGCAAATCAACTTCAGGCTTCAACATCGAACTACTTGGCACAACAATCGCATTTGGAAGCAGAACACAAGCTACAATTGCACTAAGCTCAGCTGAATCCGAACTTTATGCAATCTGCGCAGGAGTGAATAAAGGACTACACCTTCGATCATTCCTACTTGAAACCAACATATGCACTACTGTCAACATGCACATACACACCGACTCCACAGCAGGCAAAAGCATTGCTACAAGACAAGGATCAAGCAAACGAGCAAAGCGCATCAACCTCAAGTTTCTCTACACCCAAGACCTCATCAAGTACAACACCATCAAAATCATCAAGATCAACACACTACACAACAGCGCAGACATCTTAGCCAAATACACATCCAAGGAGACGCTCGCACGACTGATACAGTCATTGAGCATCAGGCTGTAACTACAAGCATGCAGGACAACAGCAGTTTCACAGCAGTTTCACTACACGCCAATTTTCTCACAACGGCGGAATTTTCAGTGACGTCACATCTACACACATTTGCACACATTTTCACTCTTGCAACTACATTACAGTTTGCATGTAACCCCAAAGTAAGTATTTGTAACAGTAACTACATGTGTATCACTTTTGCACCATGGCGGCTTTTGGCGGCAAAGTCAAAACTACATTTGTTGCTTGACTAAGGTCTGCCCGCATCCTGGAGCCCACTACAGGCTCAATTTTGCCCGTTTCACACTCGCCCGTGCTGACTACAATGGCGTCGCGCCAGGATACTACAGACCTGGAAATGCCGGTCGCAACCACACCAAGGGAGACTACCGACAGCAGCGACCGCGGCACTCTACCGGAGCCTGACTACGATGAGACAACCTACAAATTCAACCATACAGCACCTGGCTACATCACACCTTTCTACAAGCCAACTAGCATCAAGGACCGCTACAACTTCACAGAGTTTCCAACTGCATCACCAATTACAACTGCCGACCGCATCAACTACTTTGAGCTCTACACTGCGCTGACTCTTGAAGAGTATCAACTACTGAGCTTACAACAAGAGAAGCTCTTAACTGGGTTAGACCACACTCTAACCATTCGATGCATTCCTGGAGACCTACGAATGCCTCACTACGACTCCACACTTTTCAGCACTACAATCGACGAGGCATGCAATCTGTACTACTACCACACCACCTCACTACACACTACAACTGGTTACCCAAACGACTTCATCATCGTCAAGTTCCTCGTGGACCAAGAACTACTGTTGAGGTATGTTACCTCAGGGCAACTACTTCATTTTGCGAGGGACTACATCTCCTACTTGTACTCCACCAAATCACCCTACTACACACCCATGGCACAACAGGCACAACAGATCTACAAGGTGGACTTTGACATGAGCGAGTTCACCAAGACCTACAGTTTGAAGAACAACTACGTGTGGAACTACCACATGCCGATGCAACTACCTGAGTTGCTACATTACATCAACCACACCGACCAACTACTCGACTTTCAACAGAAAGCACTCTACACCATCCTCTTCAAGACCACGCAACACTACGGATTCACACTACTCACAATGACAGAACTCAGCGCAGCACAACGACAGCAACTGAACCACTACCTGCGAGCCAACAAGATCACGCTACAGCCTCCAGAGATCGACGATGATAGACTACGTGGAGCACCAGACTTCAACAACTACTTCACAACCAACTACTTCGGCGCACTGGACAGCCGACTACAGGCAGTCCGCAACCACAGAGCTCAAAACTGGCAACACCACATTGGATGATCACTACATTTTGAACTGGAACTACATCCAACTTCAAGTGCTACAGCGAGCACTACTGAGAGTTCCTTCTCACCCGACTAAAAGTTGACTGCGGTCCTTTAGTCATGTGGGACAGTTGAGCCCTACTACATAGCATGGATTTAACTAGGAATCCATGTTGCCACTACAAGAGGCAAAACATTTTGCGGCTTCTTGTAAACTACATTTGCAAGTTGGCACTACTTTGGGCCCCTGACACAGTTTGCCAGTTTTAGGAAACTACAAGTCCCTCAAACTGAGGGGGCGTGTCAAGATACATGTACTACAGTTTGCATTGCATTGACTGCACTACATGTCAGTCTTGTATGCACGACTACAGGCCTTGAGCTCTCGAGTGATTTGCATAAAACAGGAGCGGCAGATACTACAGGTTTGTGTTATTGAAACAGCACTACAAAAGCACTTCCACTTTAACGAGATTGAGAGAGAGAGAGAGAGAGAGAGAGAGAGAGAGAGAGAGAGAGACTGGCGCAGGTTCTTATCATTGGCATAGAGAATTGCTCCAGACCCGACTGTTTGTGTTCAGTCAAGCTATATCAAGCTTGCCAGCAGGTGCTTATTTTGCTTGACCAAGACTGGAGTCTTGGAACTTTGACGCCGGCTCACGATTCCAGCGATGCTGCAGAGCCGTTCAGTTTGGGGCATTTGCTGACGATCCCCTTGCCAGATGCGCAGGGACCTTGCGTGTCTGATGCATGATACTGGCGATCCTGAAAAGTTGCTCAGTTTGGGGCATTTGCTGATGATCCTGTTACCAGGTTTGAAAGGTCCCCCAGAGCATCAAAAGTGACCTTGTGTTTTTGACGCATGATGCTAACAAAGCTGGAGAGACTTTCGGTTTTGGGCATTCGTGGGCGGTGTTCATGCATGATGCTGGAGAGCTGCAAGGTTTGGGCACTTGCTCATGATCCCTTTGCCATTAATGTTGAACAATGCCCAAAAAGTATCAATAGGGACTTGTTGTTTGTTGGGGCATTTGCCGAGGATGCTGTCATCAAACTTGAAAGATCCCCACAGGCTATTAGCAGGGCTTGTATTTATTTTATAGTTGCGGATGATGCTGTCATCAAACTCAAAAGGCCCGCGCAGGGCAGCAGTACGAACCTTTGGCGCGCCAAACCCTGAATAAGTGCTGTCAACACCACAGAAAGGTCCGACAAATCGGACCAACTAGGGGATGCTTTTGGTGGGAGAGGTGGTTGGTGCATGTGGGGAGGCAGCCTATGGAGAAATCAGCTTCGTTCAATGCTGGTCAGGCCTCGAGCTGTGTGTTGCTGATGCCCGTGATGCTGGTGATGCTGGGGCCGGGTATGCTGTTGATGCTGATGAAGCCGGTGATGTTGGAAAGGCCTTGGAACCGGGGGAATCGAACCCCACACGTCTTCAGGCACAGGGCACAGGGCACCACACACCCCAGTCAAGAAACGGACCGTGCGTGGGAGGGGAAGGGGAGGGCAATGCGTCATTCTCAAGTCCAACACGCTGTTTTGTAGTCGGCGGATATTGCGCCTATCAACTAAGGCTGCAGGTGTGACTTGCGCCCGCCCCGGGTGCTCAAAGCCGTCTTGGAACGGCGCGCAGGGCGAGTACTGCGGCCCGGCCAGCATTGTACGAAGCATTTCCAAGCAAGCTGGCAACACCTTGCTTCCACTGTTCCATTTGCACCCCGGTGATGCTGATGGAGCGTACTATACGTGGCGGTTGGTTCGATGGGTCAGTAACTGGTTTCGTTCTGAGGCGGCAAATCGTGCCGAGACAGCTCAACTTCTGCTGCGCCAACTGCAGCAGCTGCTTGGCAGGCGTTTGGGTGTTACGAGTATTGTTGTTACCCATGGAAGAAGATTGTTTGAGGAAGTGGCGCAGATTCCTATCATTGGCATAGACAATTGCCCCAGACCGGAGCGTGTGTGTGTGTGTGTGTTTGTGTTTGTGTTTGTGTTTGTGTTTGTGTTTGTGTGTTTGTGTGTTTGTGTGTTTGTGTGTTTGTGTGTTTGTGTGTTTGTGTGTTTGTGTGTTTGTGTGTTTGTGTGTGTGTGTGTTTGTGTGTTTGTGTGTTTGTGTGTTTGTGTGTTTGTGTGTTTGTGTGTTTGTGTGTTTGTGTGTTTGTGTGTTTGTGTGTTTGTGTGTTTGTGTGTTTGTGTGTGTGTGTTTGTGTGTTTGTGTGTTTGTGTGTTTGTGTGTGTGTGTGTGTTGTGTTGTGTGTGTGTTTTGTGTGTGTTTGTGTGTGTTTGTGTGTGTTTGTGTGTGTTTGTGTGTGTGTTTGTGTGTTTGTTTGTTTGTTTGTTTGTTTGTTTGTGTGTGTGTGTGTGTGTGTGTGTGTGTGTGTGTGTGTGTGTGTGTGTGTGTGTGTGTGTGTGTGTGTGTGTGTGTGTGTGTGTGTGTGTGTGTGTGTGTGTGTGTGTGTGTGTGTGTGTGTGTGTGTGTGTGTGTGTGTGTGTGTGTGTGTGTGTGTGTGTGTGTGTGTGTGTGTGTGTGTGTGTGTGTGTGTGTGTGTGTGTGTGTGTGTGTGTGTGTGTGTGTGTGTGTGTGTGTGTGTGTGTGTGTGTGTGTGTGTGTGTGTGTGTGTGTGTGTGTGTGTGTGTGTGTGTGTGTGTGTGTGTGTGTGTGTGTGTGTGTGTGTGTGTGTGTGTGTGTGTGTGTGTGTGTGTGTGTGTGTGTGTGTGTGTGTGTGTGTGTGTGTGTGTGTGTGTGTGTGTGTGTGTGTGTGTGTGTGTGCGTGTGTGTGTGTGTGTGCGTGCGTGTTTGTGTGTGTTTTGTCAAGCTGTAGCAATTTTGCCAGCAGGTGCTTGTTTTGCGTGGCCAAGACTGGAGTCTTTGAGTCTTGTGCCTGGCTGGCGACTAAGGCTGCAGGTGTGACTTGCGCCCGCCCCGGGTGCTCAAAGCCGTCTTGGAACGGCGCACAGGGCGAGTACTGTGGCCCGGCCAGCATTCCGCGAAGCATTTCCAGGTGAACTGGCAACACCTTGCTTCCGCTGTTCCATTTGCATCCCTGTGATGCTGATGGAGCGTACAATGTGTGGTGTTTGGTTTGGCGGGTCAGTAACTGGTTTCGTTCTGAGGCGGCAAATCGTGCCGAGACAGCTCGACTTCTGCCGCGCCAACTGCAGCAGCTGCTTCACAGGCGTGTGGGTTTGCAGGAGTGCAAACGTGTTTGGCAATGTATGACTGTTCAACTTATGCGGCCGCGCTGTGTTCGCGGCATTGGATCAAGCTGGAACAACTATGACAACGCATGCTCGGCCTTTAATAGCATTCAGGGGGGCTGCTTCTGATGCCCGGCGTCGCTCTGATCACAGGAGAGATTCTGCCTTGAGATCATGATTTAGCAGCATGTCACCAATTGCTGGCTGGAGTTTCAGCGCTCCAGCAAGTTGAGCGCATGAATAGGTTCGTGGCCCATTCGGAGTTCTCTGAAATAGGGCTGGGAAGATTTAGATGTCCCACAGGCAATGAATCATCATCAGGAAAGCTGGCCTTCGCTAGCTGAAGTCTTTGCTCGCGTAGCAAGCTGAGATGGCCAATGGGCTAAAATGCATTCTGCAACATTGGTTTCCCTGCAATTCTGCAAATCCCCCCCCTCTTCCCTCGCTTCCGCCGCCGCCTGCCCCCGCCCCCCCACCGTCGCTGTGTCCTAGCTTTTCTCCTCGCTCTTCTCCGCTCTTTGTTCAGCTCTGCTTCTCATTCCCCACTCTCCTTCCCCGCTATGATTCCCGCTTGCTTTGTCGTTCTTCTCCTGGCTCTTCTTCCTTCCCAGCCATTTTCAACCCCCCTCTCCATTCATGCTTCTTGTGAGCTTTATTGGGGGATTGCTTAGGCCCTGTCGTGGTCAAAACGACCTCGTTATTTGGTGCTGTCTTTTGGCATTTGTTGCGCGGCCGTCCCCTGCGCGCATTATTTACTGTGCGAACTGTCCGGCCTGCGCTTCCCGCGTAATGCTTCTTCCACTTCCACGCGCAGTAGCCAAAACAGTGCCACATACAGAGGGCTATTTGCAAAATTGTTGGCTGCTTCTTCCCCTCCAATAGTCCAATGCCGTGAAATGCGTGCTCGCTTTCGTTCCTCCTCTTCTCAAGTTTGTTCCCCTGCCCACCGTGGGGTTGCTTTTGGAACTGGCTGGCAGTTCTTGCGTTGGTGAGAATGTCAGGCGGGGGCATCCTGCGTGCCTGCCACGCAGCAACAGTGGCCCGGCTGCGCTCAGTGCCGTGTCAGGTTCATGTTTTGCTTGAGCCTCGCTTTTCTGCAGGAAGCACGCCACAGAAGTCATCCAAACAGACAGTAAGCCCACACACACACACTACCTGGCAGCTTGTGTTTTCTCAAGTGTTTCGTACATTGGTGCATGTTTGTTCTAACAGTTCTGAAGGCAGCGCTTCCTGCTGCCTTGTCTCAAGCTGTGTTCCTGTAGGGGCCTTCGCATGCCCTTGAATTTCGACCAACGTCGAACGATAGTGTCTCGTTCGTGGGGCCTCTGCGCGCGCAGGAAGCAGGCTAGGCTACGGGCACCGGCTTGCAGGGGAACATGCTTGCTCTAGCAGCTTTTGGCTTTGGCCGGAAGTGGTCACTCCTATCTTTGCGTGCTTTGTGACGTGCCTTTGGAAAACGTTGGAAAACCCTTGGTTGATGTTTTGAGGTTTGTGCCGCCCGCGTGCCTTTTTCTGTGCGACTGGGTGCGTTTGGTGTATTTGTCTGTGTGGTTCTGTGAGCCTTCTTTACACTGCCCTGCGCGAAGATTTCACGTTAGACTGCGGGTTCTCCTCGCCTGCCGCTTGCCGCCTTGAGCGTCAACTGCCGCAACACCATCGTCGGATCTGAGGGCGTCTTCTGGGCCGTGTGTCAGCGCACAGTCGTCGCGCACGAGGGGCCTCATTGGTGACCGATCTCAACCACCGAGGAAAGCTCAGGGCCCTCATCGAGTGAGGAGGCCCTTGATGGTGAAAGAAGTGAGCTCAAGACCGAGCAGGGGTCCATGAATGCTACGGTTCGGAGGGCGTAAATGGATCGCGTCGAAAAGGGCCTTGTGTAAAAATAGGTACCAAGGGGACATTTGAGATGCGCGTGTGTTTTTCAAATTCGTTTAAACCCACCTAAAATTAATGAACCCGCGCGGCAGCGCTAGGTTGGCGCTAGGTTCGCGCTAGGATAGTGTAGTATAGTTTGTTGGTGATATGTTTGAAAACGCCTTCATTTCTCATGCTTATGCATTTGGACTGTGTGCGCTAGGAAAAGGCTTCAAAGGTGACCCCTTGCCCCATTTCAGCAGGCCCGAGGCGCGCAATGCACATATGTTCTGCTGCTGACACGCATGGCTTTCTTTCTGCTTGTTGGGCGTCCTTCGCCTTTCGGGGTCGCGTTTCAAAATGTCCACTCTGCAATGGTGCCACTTGAACGATGCTAAGGCCGAAAAATGCCGAAAAGGGCAGAGCTCTCTGGCAGATTTAGATTTGCGACGTTGGCAGCACGCTGACCGAATCAACGGCGTTGCGGGCGCTGCGCCTTCTTTGCTACCCAGAGGAACCGACGTGCTAAGCAGACCGACGATGCGAAGAGGCCCCTTGCTGACGCCGAAAGGCGGCTCGGGAGAGCTGGCGACGGATGACCAGAGAATTGGACGCCTCCCGCTCTTGGGAAAGCAGTCGCCTCCGGCGGCCTCCGGGAGCAAGATGCGAATTTGCCAAGCACGCGCTCACGCTCTCAAGATGCCGGGAAAGGGCCCCGCTGCAGGCCTCACAGTGAGGAAGGAGAATTAAACTGAAGCGGACGACGTCATTCAAGATTGGTGTGGGCACGACCAGCCCTCGGAGAGGCCAGCCATGGCGAGCGAGGCATTTTGCAAAGAAAGGGCCGTGAAAGCGTTGCCAGAGGCCCGCGACGTGCCCCAGCACTGCTGACAGGCGCTGCTGGCAGGACTCTTCTCTGGACTTCAAGCGAGGGGTCTTGTGCCTACAACAAGTTGGCCGAACCCTGCTGCATGCGCCCAGACGCCGCCCGCACCAAGCTGCCAGTGGTCAAGGGCTTGGATTCACTGTCTGACGTCGCTTTATGGGCGTTTATGGGTGTTCAGATCATGATGCAAAAAGATGTCAAATAGTCCTTCGGTTTTGGCATTGCCTCGTTTCTCGTTTCTCGTTACTCGTTACTCGTTACTCGTTACTCATTACTCGTTACTCGTTACTCGTTACAGTTACACCGATGAATTCTCTGAGCATCGGCTGCTCTCCTTTCGAGCGTTACCGTCCAGGAAGGCCTTTGTATGAGGGGGGTTACGCTTGCATCATCGTGCATCACGTGTTTTGTGAATTTGCGCATGTTCGCTTTAACAGTTTGAAGGCAGCGAGTCCTGCTGCCTTTGGTTATATTTTATTTTAAGCTGGGGGCTCTTTTGGACCCGCATCGTCACATCGCGCGACAGCGTCTCAAAGGAGCTGTTGATGGGGAACTGGTTAGGCTGCGGTCGCCAGCTTTCGGGGGGGGACTTGTTTGCACTAGCAGTCTTGTGGTTTGGCCCAGAAGTGACCACCCCTAGTTGTGCGTCCTTCGTGATTTGTCATTTGGAAGGGAGTGGTTGGTGCTTCGGGGTTTGCACCGGCCGCGTGCCGCTTTGTTTTGCGACTGGGTGTGTCTACTTGACTTGGTTGTTTGTTCTTTGTGGGTCTGTCGTTCACATTTTACCTGGCCCTGCGCGAAGGCGCCACACTAAACCATATATTGTGTGATGTCCGTTGTTTCCTGGACTTTTTAGCTCGGAGAGCTCCTTCCGTCAGCTTATGACTTGGAGCCGTGAGAGTTTCCCAAGGTTCGACAGCGTGAAACAGCCGGAGCCCCGGACATGCCACAGGTCGCCAGGTTGCCAGCTCGCCAAGCTACCGCAAGTTTGTTTGTTCCCGGAGGCAGTTCCAGAAGTCTTGGAACACGGGCAGCCCGCCGCAGATCCGCGCCATCTTCAAGATCCACGTGTCTTGGCCTTCACGTGTTTCCTTCCCTTCACCAATTCCACGCCGGGCTGCGGGTGTGGCAGGCGAGCAGCGCGGTAGCAACAGCTTATCACAGGACGGGTTTACTAAAGCATCTTAAGCATCACTTGCCTTTGGTGTCACCTCCAGAGAGGGTACTCGTACGTTGGCTGCATGTGTGCCATTTGCTCCGCCCTGAGTAAATGCAGCAGTATTGGGCCCATGGCGGCGCATGGCAATGGAAGCAAACTCGCCAACCAACAACGGCGCTTTCACGGCACACGAGACTTGGCAGATCATCCCATTCTTTCCATACTGTGTTTGGTGGGATCGGGTAGGATCGCCAGCGAAATTGGAGCGCAAAGGGAGCGCACCCGGTCACCCCAGCATCCGGCAGTGCTGCGCCCGAGGGCAGAGCTGCGCCTTCTCCGGGCAGCCGTGCACCAATCCAGGCAAGCCTGGAGGATTAGCCGCCTTTGGAGGGCGAAGCCGTGGGCCTTTTCTGTTTTTATTTTTAGTCTTTTCACAGGCAGTTGGTTAACAGATGGCGCATGCCTTGCATTGGAAGAGAGCTCGTGTGTGAGCTGTCGAGGCTGCCGAGCCTGTTCTATCATCCGTGGCGGCTTCCAGATCAAGCACTTGTCGGCCAACACACAGAACAGGCGTTCTGGCTGAATGTGGTGCATTGCTGGCTGTTGAGAATGATTGAACAACCAAGTCTTGGATAGTATTGGTAGGTGGGTATTTGTGCTTCTTGCAGCTGGTGGCTACGTTGGCCGCGAGCTGGCTCGGGTTGTGTTGTTCCGGAACGGAACCTGCCAGGGGTGCTTTTGGTCCGGGGCACTACACCTCTGCCAAGTCATCGACGGCAAAGGGTTATGGCAACGTCCTCATTGTCACCATTGTGGCCGCCATGGCCTCAGCTTAGCGCAATTTACGATGGCTGCGGATAGCTCCATCAATTTGGCGTCGTGTTTCTATAGATATATATATATATATGTTAAATTCAATGCTACTGTTGTATACCTGATTGCCTACTGTGAATACCTGTGTGTGAATCAGCGCGGCTGTGGTCCCTTGTCTTATCCGTGCACGCATGTATGGATGGATGGATGGATGGCTCAAGGCCTCGAGATGTAAAAGGGGCCGACAGTGTTAGATGCAGGATGAACCTGTACAGTGACTTGCATTGAGCATCTTGCTGTATTCACTTCCCTCAAGCACTGATCGCTGTATCCAATCTGTCCAGGGATAGAAGGTCTGTGATGCCTCCAGCCAATTGCAAGTTGTGCTCAAGGATGTACTGGAAAAGTCGTGCGCGGAGCGGTTCCTGTACGGCCTGCAATGAGGCATATGTGTGTTGGCAAATGGCCATGGACAAACCTGCATGTTTGCGGTCAAACATGTCCTCTGTGTCCATCGCAATGTTGAGGACAATGTGCTGCAAGATCATGTAGCCATTCGTCCAATTGTAATTCTGGTACAGGTTCCTGATGTCACCACTCACACAGAAAAATTTACCAGTGTTCTTTTCAACCTGTGTCATCACCCAGGTGTGATGCTCCTGTAGCTGCAGGACTAATCCGATGTAGCCGCGGTTGAAAAGTGTGATCTTCTTTTCACACACGCGTTGCAAATTTCAGCTGTATTCAAAGAAACGCGGTGGATGTAGCACCTACTCATGTCTTCGGTGCTGTCTCGGCTGCTGTGGATCAACCAGCTCATGTATTCAATGGCGTCCATGATGCTGTAGAGCATTCCAATGAAGCCCAATGTAGGGGCACGCATGTGGCCCGGAATCTCGTCAACCACATTTGGCTCCTTTGTAGTCACAGTTGTCATGAACGTGTATTGCTCTGTGGTGAGCGGGATCGGATCATGACCGTTGTGTAGTCATTCGGCTCGTCAGGAGCCCTGTAGGCATTTGTGCCCACTGTAGGCTCCAGTGTGAAGCCTTCCGGCACTGTCATCTGCGGATGAATCGACTTGTAGGCACGGTAAGACATTGTCGATGCAACGTATCCCTTTTCAGCTGTGCAGAGGCAAATGTAAATGGCTGCAGAGAAGAAACATGTGATCAAGCTGTCTTCAAACTATCATGCAAAACTGTATTCAAATGTTGTAGTGCAAATGTCGGGTAGTACCATGGCTATGTACCTACCCTAAGTGTTAATTAGCCGGCTGATATGTAGTGAAACAAGGATATGTGACCTGTGCAACTGATGCTTAGCATACTGTGCAAACTTACTACAGTGCAAACTGTGGGTGATACGGTTGTCGTTGCTGTGTGTGATGTCAAGGTTGGCTAGCCAAGCCTACCTTGTACTGATGTCTGTGCAGTGTTTCTGTTGGGACAAACTTTGTCAGTATGTCCGACGGGTTGTGTTCCGATCGTATCTTGCACATTGTGATGATCTTGTTCTTGACCAGTTGTTGCATGAACAAGTATCGTAGTTCTATGTGTTTTGCTTTCTTTGATGTACCTTCTCTCATGGCTATTGATTTTGCCGAGCTGCTGTCTGTGTGTATTCTGATGTTGGTCTTTGTGTCAAACGCCTCCTGAACAAAGTTGCTGATGTAGATGCTTTCTTGTGCTGCTGTACCAATTGCATATAGCTCTGATTCTGCTGATGATAGAGCTATTGTAGCCTGTGTTCTGCTCCCGTAGTGAACTGTAGCTCCTAGGAAATGTATGACAAATCCTGTTGTGCTCTTGCGTGTTGTTTCGCATCATCTGTGTAGACGTCGATGTTGGTTGGGATTCTTCTGTCTTGGATTTGTGCTGTTGGCCTGATGGTGTGTTTCCAATGTCTTGTACCTTTGAGGTACCGTATCATGTGCTTGAGTTTCTTGTTGCCCAGCTGTGTTGGTGCTTGTAGGGATCTGGCCAGCTCCTTAGCTCCATAGCTAATGTCTGGTCTGGTGTATGCTAGCCATTGTATCTTGCCGACCAATCGCCTGTATGCTGAGTGCTGTTCCTGGTCGAGTGGTGTTTCGTCTTCTATTGTAGTTTTGGGATGTGATATCCCGGGTGCTGGTGCTGCATTGCATGTTGTCATGTTGGACTCTTCCAGGACGTTGTCGATGTAGTTGTCCTCCAGGCTGATGTCGATGTGGTCTCCTTTGTGCGTGATGTTCCTTCCAAGGAAAGTTGTGAGTTTGCCTGTTGATCGAAGTAGGACCTGTTTCATGATTTTGTCGAACAGGATGTCTATCCCGGATTGTTCTCCGATGAACAGCAGGTCATCTACGTAGACCATGATGTATGCTGTTCCGGATTTGTTCCTGTGTACGATTGATTCTGTTTTGAGCCTTGTCAGCCCTAGTGCTGTAAGGACTTCTGCTATGTGGTCCTGCCATTGCTTGGGCGATGATCTCAATCCGTAGATTGCTTTGTTCAGTTTCCACATTATGTGTCTGTTATTGTCGTCGTAGAACTCCTGTGGTGGTCTCATGATGATGTTGAGTGCTGCTGCTGCTGCATGTAGGAACGCTACGCTTACGTCGCCTGTACGTACTGCCCAGTTGTTTGTCAACGCCATTGTAAGCAGTATCCGTAGGATACAGAACAGTGGTGTACTTGCGTAGATTAGGTCGTTGTCACTGATCTTATCGGTGTATCCTTTTGCGACGATCCGTGCTCGTACTTCCTGTTGTTTCGGTCGAAGTACCCATCTTGACTCTACGATGTTGGACCGTTGTTCGGCTGTGAGTGTGTTGCCGTCGATTTCCGTGTAAACTCCTTGTTCCTTCATTTGTTGTATCTCCTTCTTCATTCCTGTTGCTACCTTTGTTGGATCCAGTCCTTCTGTACTGTTCAGTATGGGTTCCACGAGTATCCTTTCATTCTCTATCTCCTGTGGATCCTCATTTGAGATTGTTTCAACCTGTTTGCCATCCTTTGTTGTGACTGTGATTGCGTTTATCCTCATTTTGCGTTGTGCTTGTTCTCCTGTAGCAGGTCTCTCCTTTGCTTGTGCTCCTGCTGTTGTCTTCTGCTGCTTGCTTGTACTGCCTTCTGTGACTTCGTCCGGTCGTGGTCGTGTTGGTGATGTAGGCATCGGTAGTGCCGGTCGTTGTGCCGTAGGTGGCGCTGTAGCCATCGGTGATGTGGGCTCTGTTGTTCTCTGCTGTTTCGTCGGCGAGCCGCCTTCCTTTTGTTCGCCGGTGTTGCGCTTGCTGTCTGCTGTCGTGCTTGTTGTAGCGTCCTTGTGCTGCTTCGCCGTTTGCTGTTGTCGTTGTGGTAACGGCAGCATTGTTGGCGTCGTTGTGGTCGGCGCTGTTGGTGTCGTGAGCGCCGATGCTGGTGCACGCCAAGGTCCGACGTTTATTACGTCGAAAAGTTGTTGGTTGCACTTGTGCGGTTTGACCTGTCGTCGTATTATGCGTGTACGTAGCACCTTGTTGTGTACTCCTATCAGGGATTCGCTTGTGGTTGTATCTTTCCCAAGCCATATTCCGTTGTAGAAGCGTGGCTCTAGCTTTGGGAATTGTTTCACTGACGAAACCATGTACTGCACTGTTTCGCCGAATTCACACAGCGGCGTATGTTGCTCTTTGTGCCATCTGTTGTAGAAGCTTGTGGATCCGTTTGCGTGTATGGCGTATCTGTTCACGATGTATGCGCTGTGTCGCACTGTCCACGGCATTATCGGGTGTGTCATCGTGACTGTTCTATTGTAGCTCTGCAGTATTTGTGCTCTCAGTGTTCGTATCTGTCCGAAAAGTGTGCGGTGTGCTCGCTCTACGCCGTGTGGTTATGTTTCCCATTGTGTTCGCTACTGCCTTTGCGAGTGCTGTCAAGTAGTCTTCCTGGTCTGATTGTAGTATCACGTGTGTTGTTCTGCCGCATTCAACCAGGAACTGTTGTAGTTGTTGTACAGCGTAGTCGAAGAGTCTTTGCTTTTCTGTCAGTTGTAGTGCCATCATCATTCCTGATTGCATGTCGATTGCTGTGAGGATTGGATGTACCTTGCTGTCGTCGAAGCCTTTCAGGTACGCGAAGTCGAGTTGTATTATTGGAAGTGTGCTCTGTTGCTTCGGGTGGTTGTTTGCTCTGCCTCGTGCTTGTACGCATATTGGACACCAACTCCTGTACGGAAGATGTGTCACGTTGTGTTCCAGCACCTCCTGTGGTGTAGGCTGCTTAGGTGCTTGTACCGCTCTTGCTCTTCTTCCTTGTTGTTGTTCTTCGTCGTCTGACTCCAGCTGTGTTGGGTACTGTTCTTGTTCCTCGAAGTTTGTCCAGGGTGTGTTGTGTACCTTTGGTTGCTGTGCTGTCCATTCATTCTGTATGACCTTGGAGTTGTCCTCGTTTCCTGCTGGTCGTATCTTTGTCAGCTTGTACGGGCTCAGCTTTGTGATGTCCGGTCAATCGTCTGTTTGCTCTGGTATGTAAAAGGCTGTGCGAGGTTGTACGTGGACTCGTTTCCAATGTGGTCCTTCTCTGTACCAGTAGTCTCCACCGGGTTGTTGTTTGTGTTGTCTCCAGCTGCTGTTGTTGCTGTATTGCCGGTTGTGGTTGCTTTCCCGTGATCCTCGCTTGTGGTCTGTATTGTATCACTTGTGGTGTGACTCTCGGTGTTGTGATCTCCTTCTGTTGCGGTTGTTGTTGCCTCGCTGCCAGTTGCTGCTGTAGTGTGTCCGGCAGTGTTGTACCTTTCTTTAGCCTGAACACTGTCTCTCCTTTCCACAGTGTTGGTTGTGCCTGGTTTGGATTGTCGAGGTGTTGGTATCGATCCTCTATTGTTCTTGTTGTGCCATCCTTTTCTTTGATTGTTGTCCTTCTGTAGTTCTCGAGTCTATCTGTCGAGACGGGGCACTGTGTTCGTGTTGGTGTGAACATTGTTTTCGTGTATTGCCGATGTACTCTGACGAGCTCTCCTTGGCTGTTGAACTGGCAGTAGTCTCCTGCATATCCTGTGTACTTTGCTCCTTGTGGTGTCAGTGTAGTTGTTGGTGCCATCATTGCTACCTGTCCTTTCTCGGTGTTGTTTATCCTCAGCTCTGTTCCTTGTGGTAGTGTTGTGACCTCTGCTTGTAGGAAGAGTAGTCCATGTGCTCTTGTGATGCTGCTGTCAAAGCCTTTGTCGTGGTGTATCCTTGGGTTGTCATCCAGTACAATCTGGAATCCTTGTTCTATCAGTCTTGTCACTGATAGAATCGGTTGTTTGATGTCACACACGTAGAACGGTATGACAATGTGTTGTCCGTTGATGTTGTTCATACAAACCCATTTGTATCCGTGTAACTTGATTGGCTGGTTTGTCACTGTTCTCAGTTGTGGTCCATTTCCCGGTGTCAGTGGTTGTATCGGGAACTCTGTTGCAAACCATGGTGGGCAGACATGTGTAGCTGCACCACTGTCGATCATGAGATCGATGTATCTGTGGCTTGTGCCTTCTTGTTGTTGCACTGTTGCTGTAGCAATTACTACCTCTGCAAGTCCTGAGACTACCAAAGGCATCTGTTCATTGCCATGTTGTATTGCTAGTTGTGGCTGATGAGGTTGTACTTGTGTCTGATCCTTGTTGTACCAGTTTCCATCGTAGTTGTTGTTCTGGTACCAGTCGTCAGTGACGTCGTTGTTCTCCATGTTGCCGCTGTCGTAGTTGTAGATGGCCACTCTGCACTGCTTGGCCATGTGTCCAGGTTGTCCGCATCTGTAGCACACATTTGTGGCTTGCTTTCCTTTTGTTCCTTTGCCTCCTTTGTAGTTGTTGTTGTATCCTCTACCTTTGTGGTATCCTTTTCCTTTTCCTCTGTTTTTGTTGTATCCTCCTTTGAACGGATTTCCTTGTCCTATCGGCTGGTTGTCTCCTTTGCCTCCTTTGTAGTTGTTGTAGTTGCCGTAGCCGCCGTAGCCTTTTCCTCTATTGTACTTTCCTTTGCCTTTACCTTTTCCTTTCTTGCCCTTTCCTTTGTTGTACCATGTTGCTCCTATGTCCATTGGTGCTGGGCCTTGGTTGTCACTACTTAGACTTGTAGCCGCTTGTAGTTTGGCGAATTGTGATGCTGCTCTGTGGTATTCTATCACCAGTGATCTGATTTGTGCATAGGTTGTAATGTTGCCTGCCTGTAGTTGTAGGTGTTGTTGTAGTGGGCCTTTTGTCTCGTTTAGTAGGATTGCAATCTTCACTGCATCCGGTAGTAGTGTTCTGTTGTCTTGTTCGTACTTGGCGAGTTGAAACTCCCATGTTGTAAAGCTCTCCTCAAACTTGTTCTCGTCGATCTGTGGTTTGAGCAGCTTTGTAAGGTAGCCGATGCTTCTTGTACCAAGTGGTAGTGAGTAGCGTAGGTGTAGTTGTCTCCATGTCTCGAAGCCGTTGCCTTGTAGGTTCTGTCTACAGATTGTCGATGATGCTCCATCGCAGGTGTTGACGAGGAGGAAGTGTAGGTCTCCGCAGAGTTGTAGCCATAGGTCTGCTGTTTCCTGATCTGGCGCGGCTTGTTCCAGTTGGTCGTTTGTGATTGCTTGTGGTGATTGTTCTGACTGTCTCAGCAGTCTGTTGTATGATGACTCTTGCAAACCGAGGTATGCTGTCATCTTGTACTTCCACTCTTCAAATGTGGAGTACTCACCGTTGAACCTTGGTGGTGATATTCTGTACCTGTGGACTCCTGACAGTTGTTGTTGTAGTTGTGCTTGCTGTGCATTTCCTTGTGCCGCCATTGTCACTTACTGTGCTACTGTGTACTTGGTTGTGTGGATCTTTCCCAGGTGTGGTGTTGCTGTAGTCAGTTGTGCTCCGCTACCATGTTAAATTCAATGCTACTGTTGTATACCTGATTGCCTAATGTGAATACCTGTGTGTGAATCAGCGCGGCTGTGGTCACTTGTCTTCTTTGTGCACGCATGTATGGATGGATGGATGGCTCAAGGCCTCGAGATGTAAAAGGGGCCGGCAGTGTTAGATGTAGGATGAACCTGTACAGTGACTTGCATCTTAACAATATATGCAGCGTTTGGCCAAGTGTTTGTTTTTTCTGGTTTCAGATCCTAGAGCTCTGCAGGTCGGGATCACCGACGTGGTGCAGGACCCCACGTTTGGTTCTCAGTTTGCTGTTCGGAGACTTTGAGATCCTGACTTATTTTCACGAAGCGCATTGACCGTATGCCAGGTTGTCGGCTACTGTTCTTGCCAAACGGCTTGGTGTGATGACAAACGCAGCCGCAAGCCGCATCTCAGTTCTGGAAGGCCGCGGCTGTGGCCAGACAGTTGTGCAGAGATGGCACATAGCCCTGGTACAATTTGCTTTCAAAACTGTATGGAAACGGCTGAGTGTCAGTGTGAGACAACAGAGGCCCTTGCAAACCGATATATAAGGGGGAAGCTCGGTTCCGCTGGCCAAGTTGCGGGTTACATTAGTTACGTTAAAATGAATGCATTATTGTACCCACCACCAATTCTGCAAGGATTGCCTAGTATAGATCCTTGAGGTCGGCGCCGCTTCCGCCTGGACGCCATTCACGAGTGGCCAACAAGTCCACTGGCAATGATGAACTGATGGTCCCTGGCGACGACCAGATGCTGCCGTCTTACTTGGTCCTGTTCTGAGAGCGGTGATCAGAAGCCACTGGGCGCAAAGGCACTCTCTGCAAAACTTGCAAGAGCGCCTGTGCTGCTCTTAATTTGTGGCACCCGCCAGGCAGTGCTCCTAAACGCCCCAGCGCGGAGACTTCAAAGCACTGCTTCAACGAATTGCCTTTCTAGAGCACTGCTCAGCGTCCAGCGGTGTCATTTTTGATCATTGTATTGACTTTGGCAGGACTTGCGCAGGACCAAAGTCAAAATGAGCAAAAGCAATATCATGAGGGCTCAAACAAGGCTTGTCTTGACGCTGCTAAACTCGCAGACTCGAAATGCACTTTTGCTCCAACTCCAGTGGCATTGTCAAATTCAGCCATGGACATGGTCAACTTGCAGCTATCAAATGCTATTGGTGCATATGGAACGGTTTCTGATTTATGTAGGATGTTTCTGTTTGGTACGTATAAGCGTCATTCCACACGGTTCACGCCAGCGTAAACAGTTGCAACCATTTGCGGGGCGGGTGCTTCTTATAATATGCTGTGCGGTTTTCTCTTGATGCCCGAACTTTATATTTTGCAGGTAGGAAACTCCCTAGAACGAAAGGTACCTTCTGTACTTCTGAAGGGAGGGTTCCCTTGATCAACTTTCTTGGTTCTCAGGAGACAGAGACATAACATCATTGTTCAGTGCCATTCAATGTACACACCTGGATCGCACAACGGGGTGTGATAACTTCAAATGAAGATGTCCTAGACAAGACAAGTGCTTTTGACGCTGACTGAACATGCGAAACTATTTGCTGTCACAAATTGTTGTCACGGAGCCCGGTTGAGCAGTGAAGTTGGGAAATTTGCGTGTGATATCTCCATTTCAGTGTCCCTGCATGCAGCTCTTTGCAGACATGTCATGGCCAGATGCCACCCGGAAACAGTGCCAATGTCTCCTTGCAATGAGCCTTTCGGTAGATGTTGGACCCCCTTCGCCTTCGGCTGTGCCTGAAACAGCCAGAACGTAGCAGGGCAGCTTTGTTTTCACAAGTTCGCAGCAAAGGAGATGCGCACGTTGGGACATGACGGACACGCATGTCGAAATTCATAAGGCACCGGGGACAAGTGGGACAAACCATGTCAGCCTCACTTGCCCTGCAAGTTGTGGCGACTTCCATGAGGAAGCCTTTGCATTTGGGCGGACCTGCACATTGGTGCCTTTCTCAGCAGCATTTGGCGCAAGACCGGTCGACCTGCGAGGGCAATGGCAAGCTGGTCATGGCTTGGAGCTGGGAGGTGGCAGGCCTATGACAACGCCACCAGCAGGACGCAATCAGGTCGTTGCTTCCCACGGCATCTCATGGCCCACGGCATTCCATTGCATTCCGTGGCATTCCATGGCTCTTTGTCCGCACAGCTCCATGTTCACAAGTGCCTCGCCCGGCTGAGAGGACAATTGAGCAGGCGCACAAGCAGGGCCAGGCAACTGTCCGCATTGCCTTGAAGAACGGCCAGTATGACATTGACCTCAAGAAGATGCAGCAGGCAAGGCCGTCAAAGTGGCTGCACTTGCGCATCCAGTACTCCAAGCACCTTGTTTTTTGCGAAGCTTGGCAAACTCGTCCTCAATTCTGGGTGACAAGGACAACGGCGATTCAAGCAAGTAGGTGAGTCCGCGCATACAACAGACCCAATCATGTAACAGATTTGAGCGTTCCTGAATTACGCATGCTCGCAAGCCTTCTATCATTACTGCAAGAGGAGAGCATGCACGCAACCGCCGCACCATTGAGCAGTTTATGATTCAGCAAAAGCAATACTCATTGGCCACAAAACCCCGGCGTCAGCACACCGCCTCGCCTCTTGCGCAGGCATGATTGTGCTCTATGCTTGCGGATGCTCTCGTTTGCTCATGTTGTTATGTTAGATTGAAGGCGTGATGTGCGTTTTGTTCTATGCTTCTGGCTGCTGGCTTGCAGCTGGCAAAGCTCCATGGCAAGTCGCAACTTCCGCTCCGCAGCACAGGTGCACGCCACACGCCCCAGCAAAACGCGGACGATTCGGCGAGAGGATGGCCAGGCCAGGAGCGTGTTGCGCGCGTGGCAAGAGGCAAGAGGGTTTTGCTGTCACTGAAGGCAAGCTCGACCGCATCGACATGTTCAGCAGCCACATCGGCAAGATCAGTCAGGTCAAGCGGATCGTCCACAGACGAGTTGAGCTTGGCAACTCGGCGTACCGAGCCGCTTGACATGCTGCTGGGCAAGTTGAAGTTTGATCAGTTAACAAATGTGAGAGAACTGATGTTGCCAGATTTGTTTGTCCTTTTCAGAAGTGTGCTTGCCAAACTTTGGCAAAGCTGACTACCTCACTCGTCGCCATGTTGTTCAGGCAACTAGGAGCCTCAGACCAGCCAGGTCTCGCAAATGCAAGTGCTGCATATGCAGATTCCCTGCTGCTCCGTAGCTTCAGAAGACGAGCAGCTTGGCAGCAGGGCGGTTCCTAAGCGTGCTGGAGAGACATGCTGCCAACAACTTCTCACTACCTGTTGCCTGGTTGAATGGAATCTTGCTGAACAGTTCAATCCACGCTCTCCTGTCAGACAAGCCAAGGAAGAGTTCAGTTCAGTTGTGTGGCGCTCAGCTCGCCCATTGGGAGATGTTCATGCATAGTAAAAGGCAAAGTGAAGCACTGTCTTGAAGTCAAGTATGTCAAGTAAGACTTCCGGATATGCTATTGGTTTCAGCGCTTGTGCGTACTGCTGGGCGACTGGAGCGGAAATGTGGCCAATCGAAGTTGAGAAAGTCATGGAGTCATGGCAATATTAACTCAACTCGACCCAATTTGCCTCGCAGCAGGGTTTAGGGCTAATGCCGCTCTGCATTTCCTTGCGCATTGAGGCAGTTCAGCAAGAAGTGGGACACAAGCAGAGAGCCAGAGCCAAGCATCTCAGAGATTTATACAATCCATGCTGCTTGGACAGCACTCCTACTTTGACCTATTGCAGAAATGTGAGGGCGTAGGAGCCAAACGGGATTTTTGACATAATGGGGCATGTGCAAGAGGCATGATCCTCAAGGAGCCCCAGGTGAACTAGGTCCACAATTTCCACGGCTGGTATTTTTGCCATAGCTCGCACAGCTAAAATGGCCTTCCAATGCTTGTAGAAACCTGAAGCCTGAGAGTGACTATGGTTTGCTCAAGCAGGCGGCAGCAATCATTCGGGGCATCAAGTTCGTTTAATTTCAGGGAAGCAAGCCTGCACACCAGCCTTACTGTGACTCGTCGGCCAAACGTTTGTTTTCAGGGTTCCCCAACTACTTGTTGTTGAGAACATATTACAAGCATTCTTGTCAATTGGTTGTGCGTGCGCAGTGCGGCGGGAAGGCATTGTGGCACGTATTCTTATTGTTTTGTGTCGTGTCGGTTCAGTGAACCTTGGCAATTCAACACCTCAATGGCGACACTGGAGATTAGGAAATTTGTTGCAGACCTGTCAGTGCATCAGGCGGGCTGCATTTGCAGGATGTCATCGTTCTGGAAAACTAGCGACCCCCAAGTGAGTGACAAGACCGGAGCTTTGCCTGAGTCGGCTGGGCGTAGTTGAGTCCACAGCAGGAAGCAACCAGAGGATGACTGCACATCAGCCCGCGCAAGAAAGCAGCTTCAGCTATAGTAGCAAACTAGACGTCGAGAAAGCAATCTGGGTGCAACGTTGCGCGCCGAGGTCAGTGCAACTGTGCAGGAGCGCTTCACGAGGCTTGTCACATGAGCTGAAACTGTTTTTCAATTCAAGACCAGTTGCAAACAAGGCATGAGGCAGCCTGTAGAAACCACTCGGGGAGTTACGGCCGAATCGGCTGAGTCGCTGCGAGTTTCCGCAGAGGTGCTGCGAGGCGATTGGGGAGGTCCCAGCGTATGGCTATGGCGAAAGTCCAGGAAACCAGCAGCGGAGGTTCCACGGCACCAGACACCTGTCGGCACACAAGCCGTCTCAAGCAGTCTGAAGCACGAGCGTCTGACTGGCTTGTGCACATTTGCCACGGGCTGCGGCTTTTGCGCACCAGGCCTGGACGTAAGCGCAACAAAAGGAAGCAGATGTTGACCTGACCCTGCGCCATCAAGCTCATTGTTCATAAGCTTCAATCAAGCCCCCCAATTTAATCATTCTGGAGCGGGCGTTCATGCATGTTGTTTTTTACACCCACTGCGAGAGTGTTTATGTGTGCAAAAGCAAAGAGCAAGAGATCCATCCTGTTACCTGGCGCATTTGCCGGCTCCGAGGACAGATCTGCAACTTCAAAGGTCAGCCCTGCGACAGCGAAGGCGAGGCTAAGACTCTAAAAGAGCGGGCTACCGTAGCCTCCAGCCTCGGCAGGTTGCAGCGCCTGCGGCATCATCCGCGAGGGATTCAAGTTGCAGTACATTTCGACGGGCTCCGGGAACAGGCTCATGGCGACACGGGTGATACAGCTTACCCGGCTTCCACACGCAACGTGCCACGTGCTGGGATCGTTTTGCTCAGACCTTTTAGACTCTCTTTCTTGACACCTCTTGACTTCATGATTTTGGTACTGTGGTGAAAGAGACCTCGCTCGCTTTGTTGCATTCTCTGTACAAGTTTATAATTGTTGGCGGAACCGACTTTCTGCCCAATTTGGCATGGAAAAGGTAGCAGGTTGAACTCGAATTTCAAGGAACGGCATGAGATGACGGTGGGACTGCTTGTGCAGGGGAGCCTTTGGAGAAGGGCACTATGCCACCTCAATGTCGGCCACTGCAAAGGGCTATGGCGGTTCGCAGAACGTCGTCATCGTCACGAAGGTGGCAGCTGAAGCCTTATTGCCAGCTTGCATCGTGGACAGTTTGCACAGTTTGCGCAATGCAAATGTGCGCTATGGCATAGAGAGCCCCGAAAGCGCAGAGCATCTAGCTCGTCAGAACACACCCAACTTAATGTCGAACGCCAGCCGCAAGGCTTGCAAACTCTAAAGCTCAACTGGTGCATCGCTTTGAAGGCACCTGAATCTAAGGCGGGCAAAGTCGAGATTGTGCGGCAGACCACGCCTGGAGCTGAGGCAGTTTTCACATTGATGTGGAGCCGCAAACAACATGCGCACCTCTGGTTTCAAAGTGTCACCGAGGACTGCCGCCATTGCTGCTGGCTGCCACAGTCGAGTCGCCATGAAGAGCAACGGTGTGGACGAGATCGTGGTGCCGGATGACGCGCAAATGTTGCCTCTGTTTCTGATCCGATTTGCTTGAGACTGCAGGGTTGGCATGGATGGCAGGGTTGGCAGGCCAAGGCTTGACTTCTCTGCCAGATAGAGTCGCTGGCTTGAAATTAGGCGCCCGCAGCTGAGCCGAGGCGGATGACCTGTTTTACCAGGGTATTTGGCTTAGTTGGATTCTTCCACACCAACCAACCAATTTTGTTCGGTGAGGGCAATGGTCTGTGACACGGCTCAACTTTAGCACCGAGTAGTGAGACACCTCGGCAAGACTTAAGCAGGCAGGTCCCAGGTCAGCCACGCTCGGATGCGCAGAAAGGCCGCTCGCAGCAGCTGATTGGAAGCGTTTGACAGGCCCCCAGTATCAGGGAAGAACCTAAAGACAAGATGAGACATTTTGCAGCGCATGTAGCTTGAAATGTCAGGGAGCTTAGTTACCCATGGAGTCGCCCGGGCAGAAACGCTTCACAACAGCAACGCAGTACATATATCTAGCAAATGGCAAAGCAGTGTTTTTGCTGGCAGCGCGATTGAATTCCTAGTCGAACCTTGGACGTTGTCGTGAGCGTGTCAAGGACGTGGCGCGGGTGTCACCTCTAGCTTTGCAGCCATCGATGCCATCGGTTGCTCAAGCTAGTCAAAGCATAGCGTCGGTCCTTTTGTTGCGTTCTTCGAAGCCAATATGACCTCGGCAGTTGCTTGAGAGTGCGGCGTTGCTAGTTGCTAGTTGGTACTTTGTCTTCTACGCTGGTCCCATCATCCCTTCCTGCGTTAGCCCACGTCACGCGGGTTGTTTTCAAAGATGGTTGCGCGCCCCCTTGTGGGTACAGATGAGGATGGCTGGGCAACGGCCTTCCCGTTTTGCCGCCTACAAGTGGTGACGCGGGCCCATGGTTACCCCCCCCCACCCGTTTGGTCTAATTCCACTTTAGGACATGCAAACTGATGCTGGATGCGCAGGTGAGGTGGTTGCAACGACATTATACGGCAAAAATTCTGGGTGTTCCACGGCCCGAGTGGGGCAGCGACGTACAGGTAAAGGTTGGCGCGCTATCAACCGAAAGGCCCAGCAGCGTGGCGTCGTGCAGCATATTTTGGTGCCTTGCGCTTTCCTTCCTGTTTGATACCGCAGGTGCGAGCCGCTCGCAACGGCTTACGCTGCCCAAAGGCCCGTGTCAGAGTGCGAACACGTCAACGCACGCATCTTGCAATTCATATGCTTGGCGCGCCCATGTAGGGGTGCTTTGGGAGCTACGTCAAGATGCCAAGAGTTTACACTTGCTTCTTGATGCAAACGCGGCAAGACCAGCGGAACCCCGGCTGTACTTCTAGTGTTTTGTAGGTTTCCACATGTTTCCACCCACACTGGGCTGGTGTTCAGCATCTCAGTTGTGCTAGCTACAATCAGTGATTTGTGATCCCATTGGTATGATTTGGGTCGTATGGGCCTCTGTGACAACGGGCGTGCGGAGTTTGCTGGCAAAAAACATGGCATGCGCTTCTTGTGGGTGTTTGAAGCTGTTTAGTCTCAAGACTCGAGTCTTCCAGTGCAGTAGTTAGTCTCAAGACTTGAGTCTTCCATTACAGTAGTTGGCCCAGCATGCTGGAGCTGTGCGCAGGCGTGGTAATCGGCGTGGTACTTGGCATTATTCTCAGCCAGGACCCTCAGCTGTGCAACGCTATCGTTTCCGAGCGTTCACTTTTGGATCCCAGGTGCATAGAAAGGGGGGGATTAGACTAGCGTGACTAGACTTGCTCAGTGAAGGACGGATGCGTGGCCCGCGTGGCCCGCATTGGCCTGGGGGCCAGCCGCACGGGCCGCCTGCTGCGCATGGGGTACTTCTCCTGGGAGGCGTTCGACTTAAAGACGCTGAAGTCAGCCCTGAGGCTTTTGGTGGAGTACCGCATGGACAAGGCTTACGAGACCCCAGAGGCCAAACGCCAGCTCGGGGAGAAGGTGAAGCAGACGCTCTTGGATGCTGGAGGAATCTTTCCCAAGGTAGCGCAAAATCTGGCGGAGCGCCCAGAGATCTTCCCTGATGCAGAAGTGCGGGAGAAGCTCAAAGAGTGTCAAGCAAAGTGCCCCCACATGCCCCTGGCTGAGTTGAGGCAGGCCTATAAGAAGCTACATCCCGACTCCGACCGGGCTTGTTTGCACAAAGTGGACCCTGTGCCGCTAGGCTCAGCTTCCATTGGTCAGGTCCATCGGCTGTCCGACCGGTCAAAAGTCCTGAAGATTGTGAACCCACTCCAGCGGGCAAAGGTGACAGGACAAGAGGCCTTGGTGACGGCGCTGGCGGATTTTCTGGAGGGGGAAGTCTCAGGCGGTCCAGCTAGAAGCGTCGCCCTTGTCTTGAGAGAAGCGTTCAAGGAGGTGCTGAAAGAATTTGACTTGACACAAGAGGCCGACAACATGAAGAGAGTTGGGTTTGCAAACTGCACACTGCATGGAATCCAGATCTCAGTGCCGGAGGTGTGTCAGTCAATCCCTTCCACCTTCACATTGCGCATGGAAAACATCTTCCACACGCCAGGCTTGGAAGCAGCTCAGACCGTGAAACTGGACGAGGTGCTACAAAGCCGTTTCGTGCATCACGCCTTGAAGACTCAGATTCTCAAGGCCTTGATCCAGCACTTCGGCCAGCAGCTCGTCGTGGAGAAGGCGGCTCACTGCGACCCGCACCCTGGCAACATCTACGTGCAGCTTGTCCACGGGGAGCAAGGCGTTCGAGTGGGTCGCATGTGGCTGCTGGACTGGGGTAGCCTCCTGCTGCTGAGTGACGAGCAGCACGCAGCTTTTGCGCAGCTTTTGGCCGTCGCAAGCTGCAAGCGCTGCAAGTCTCCCAAGTCTTGCAAGTCTCCCAGATCTCCGCGATCTTCCCCCCCGGCCAGATCTCCTTCGGCGCTTCCTGCCGTGGAGCGCTTTGAGGCGGCCTTTGGCATCCGCTTCGAAGACGCTCTAAGCTTCGAGGAGAGGCTCGGATTTTTGCTATCCTTTGTCTCAGCCCACCACCTCCAGCAACTGCTCAATGATTGATCATGAGTTTCATCAGTCCACAATATGTTTTTTTTTCCGATTTGTTCGCTCGTTGCCAAGTTGTTATTTTGCAACTTTAACGCCTCCGGCTGACACCGCCAACGTTCCAGGCCTATGGCCGAACGACTTACCTGCATGTTAGTGGCTACAGCAGACCTTTTGCCATGAGTGTAAGTGCCTCAAAGTTCTTCAACAGATTAGCCAAAGGCATCACGCTCCACGCAGATGGTAACGGGAAGCTAGCAAAAGAGTTTGCCAAGAGCAAATGGAAATCAAACGTTTGAGTGGAACTCAATGCCGGACAACCATTGGTGATGGCTGAAAAAGCACTGTCCAAAGTCCCTGAGCAATCGTGAGCCTAGTTCAAGAAGTTGCAACCAGCGCCTTGAATGCCATGCCTTTATAGTTACTGTTAACATACAACCACAAAGATGTTTAGGAAGAGATAGAAAGCTGTGCAGGCAGGCTTGATGCGCTTTGGCATGTCAGGAGAACATGTTACGTCGCGGCCGCTTTTCAATCCCATGTAAACGGCCTCAATAAACTTCAAACCCCCTTGCGTTGGCCACGTTTGGACATGACCGAGCTTGCCAATTTGAAATAAAAAGGCTTCCTTCGTGGGACTTTTGCTATGACCGTATGACGGACGCACCAACGAAGCGGGGGGTCATTCCAAGTTGCATGCTGTGCGTTGACAGCAGCATTTGTCGCTCTCTGTTCCTGATGTTGTTTATTGTTTTCAATGTTGAAGGATGTTGCAAGGCCTCTGCAGGAGATGTGCGCAACTGAGATGCAACATGTAATTTAGCCAAGCCCACCGCTGGCGATGCTGGGGGTGCTGGTGAAACTGAGCAGCCCTGAGTTTAGTCTGCTCTGGAGATGCTAATGATGCTGGTTGCGCCGCTCGTGATGCTGGAAGATCCAGAACCGTCAGCGCCCCCATTCACAGTCAGGATTGGACTTCACGGGTGGCCGTCCCAGAATCAGCGCCCGGTAAAGGGTACATATCACCCCACGGAAAGTTAGCAGCCGGGGCTCCCGGGAGAGTGGAGGGGATAACAATGTGACATCCGCGTGCCCAACACGCGCGCTGTGTGTAGTCGGCGCGTCCGCCCAGGTACGCCAGCAAGGCGGAGGCGCTGGCAGTTCCCAAAATGTCGAGCGCTGCAGTGCAGATCTTGAGGACAGTTTGGGTTTGGGGCTCCCAGACGCATCTTGATTCGATGGAAACTTCCGGCCTTGTTTCGATGAGACTGCGTCCCTTGAGGATAATGAATGCCTTGGGAAGCTACCTGGCCATGGTCCAAGACAACGGGATGGACACAAACACCCGGACTGTCAGCTGCCTGTAATGTCTCCAGGGTGGGCGCTGTGTGACCGATGTGAGCAAGAATTGGAAGGGCTGCTGTGCCAAACCAAGGAAATGGTGTGGTGGGATGAGTTGCAAAGGTCGACGCAGGAGCATTCGATGGAGTCTGCAGAAGAGGAGACTGCAGAAGAGGAGACTGCAGAAGAGGAGTTTGCAGAAGAGGAGTCTTCAGCAACAGATGCCTCAGCACACTCAGCACATTCAGCAGACTCAGCACACTCAGCGCACGCACCAGTGAGCACTGTCACACCAGCAGCATGCATGAACGAGTCCGCCGGAACCTGAGGTAGGGCTCGTGGGTTGGCTGGCCACTAAAAGGCTTCTGGTCAAGCCTCTCGCTTTGTGTTTGCCCGTGGCAGTAGAGGACACGATGGTTGGCATGACCTTTTTGCATCACTTGTCAAATTCCAGGTCATCTTAAAGCTCCCCACCATCTTGGAACTGCATCAATCAGGGAGTCACCAGTATGGGTATTTTTGTTCGCCCTGCAAAGGCAGGCGTAAGATATTGTAAGATGTTGCAGTCGTGCCGGCCACGAGTGTTGGTTCTGGACGGGAAGTAAATCCAGATGAGTTACAAGCAACGGCGCACCCGGCCGTACTGGAAGCCAGGCTCATGCAAATTGCGGGCCACGGCCTGCAAGGAACATGATTGCCAGCCACAATTAGGAGTTTGGCTCATGAGTCCGCGAAATGTGGTTGCACGATGACACTCCTCCGAGGTCCAAGTGGCTGCCTATCTTCCGAGCTTTCCGATCCAGGAGTTTGCTGACCCTCACAACATTGCAAGACAAGTCTGGAATGCTGTGAACATCAGCTTGTCGTTGAAATCAACGAGTTTGGATCACTTCATCTTCGTGGCAGACTGCCACTCAGAGGCTAGCCTTCAAGATCTCCATGGCTTGGACTTGTACTACGACGTGAACGACGTAGATGTCCAGATCAAGTTCGTGCTTGGCGATGCACCAATGCTGCCTGCACATTCGGAGGCGGGCCACAAGAGTTGTTCCAGTCTGGCGCAAATCAGCGCACGCATTCGTGATTTTGGCTTTTGTGGTTGTTGCCAGTGCTTGTGGTGGTTCTGGTCACCTGTGACAGAAGGGGGTTGTTCAAGGGAATGATAGGCATGGCGGCATGACCTTTTTGAATGGTTTTGAGTACTTTCTCACATTGCAGGGTCATCTTTAGTTCCTGACGTAATCTTGCCACCGGTGAACATCTTGGCGTTAGCAGTTTCCAACTGTTCGCACCTTCCGAAGCAAACTCTCCTACTCGATACGGCTTAGAGCACCTTCGAAGTCTGGACCATCTTCGATTGCCACCAATGAGCATGTTGTCGTCGTCAATATAGTAATATATATCATTCCGCTGAGCTGATTGCTCCTTGTGCGTGCATGCCTGCACTCTGTCATGGAGAGTGGCGCTTCATGGGAGGTGGCCGTAGTTGTCGCTCAGCATTTTGGTGCAACCAGCCACATTTCGATATTCTCATTTCGATTCGCGTCCTGACTTGCTGCCGAACAGGCCGGCTGGAAGATGCCGCTCGAAAGTGCCACAATACAAACAGTAGTCCACCAAAGTGAGCACAGAGTCGACGAATCTTCTTCCCAGGTGTGCAGCTGCGACAACGGCATTTGAATCTCTTTGGCCTCGCAACGTAATCCTTCTGTCTAGTTGCGTCTCCAGGTAAGAACACAGCGAGCAGCAAGGCAAGGGCCCGAACGCTGAGCTGTCGTGAAGTACCAGACGTCGCTCCTGGAGAACAGCTTTGAGCCACAATGTTGTAAGGCCCTGAGCAAGTTCAGGCCCGCTCCGCCCATTCCCTCAGCACACGAAAAAAAAGGACGCCCGCTCTTGGTTCTCCAGGCGCGACTCCCAGGCGCGACTGCCTGTTCCAATATTGGTGTTCCACTCATGAGGGGCAGGGTGCTGAGGCATAGGACGCGGTTGTCCAGCCCAGCGAATCTGCCCGTTCTGACCGTTGCTGACCACCAAGCAGACTTTCAGCGGCCACGAGCACAGCGCCTCAAACTGCGTTAGCGGCATCCGCAAGGCTTGTGGGCTTGCTTCGGCAACACCGGTGCTGCGCAAAGCACTGGACAAACGACCGGCGCCCCTATCCATCTCCGGGTGCACAATTCCCCTCACCGCCAGCCCAGCATTCCTTCACGCAGCTCTTCAAGAGACCACGCTGGCAGCTTTTCGTGGAGGTCAGCTGAACGTGCTCACGAGCTCTGACAACAGATTCTAAAATAGGCAACACGTGAAGCAGCCAGGTTTGGTGCTGCAAGGCCCGCCCAGCACGCACAGACATGAGAGCTCCATGGATTTGGCGGTGGGGCTTAAGCTTGCTATTTGAGAGACACGTGGTCTTCCCACCACACCATCTTGCCAGTGTCACGTGCATGCTGTTTGGGGTTGTACCTATGTGCCAGCTGTTGGTAAACTACAGATGCCTGTATTTGGCTGTGACCGCCCAACATTTGCAGAGATTGATTTCAGCGTCTAACTAGCCTAGCGGGCATCATCTACGCAATCGCAAACACGGTACTCCCATCAAGTTTCCTATGATTAGATGGCCACCAACCCAAGCGACAAATGTGATTCACAAAAGGCGCATCAATTTGTAATTTGGGTCTTCAGGAATGAGTACGGGGTCGGGAATCCCTCCTAGATTGACACCTGGGCATTCCAATCGCACCGTACGCAGGCACTATCCACCTGGAGAGCCGCATCGAATGCACCTGTCCAAAATTCGAGCAACGAAGCCTTTGAGGTGCCAGAATTTCCGCCATGGTGGCCAAAGTGATTCTTTCAGGCGATTCGCGTGCTTGGATGTGCTTTGCAGCATTTCCGTGTGCTGGTGAAACCTGCGCCATAAGCCGGATGGGGCGCTTTAGAAGACATGCTTGGGATTTTACTTTGTTGACCTCAGCAAGACTTTGGCAAGACTGGGGGTATCCACTTCACAGCCCTCAGAGACAGAAAAAGGCCTGCTGATTGCAACTTCTTTGCTTTCGCGCAGCAAAGCGCTTCTGCACCGGCTCATGTCCAGAGATGTGGCGTCCCAACTTCATTGCTTATGAGCCACGGTCAATATTCATGGTACTTGTTGGTACAAGGAGAATGACATGGGGCACACTCACCAAATGTCCACTAGTACATGGGGCTTACTCACCAAATTCCCATGTCAATTCGGGGAACCAGGAACTTTAGAGCCTCCGGCTCAGTCCGCCGACATTGTCCTCTCCCTTTTCTCCTTCTTCCTCTCTCATTGTGTGTTCTGCCGTCCTCTCTCCCTCCCTCTGCTCCCCATCCTCCCCATCCCCCCAAGCCTCTCTCTCCCCAATCTCCCTCTCTCGCATGTGTGTATGTATGTATGTATGTATGTATGTATGTATGTATGTATGTATGTATGTATGTATGTATGTATGTATGTGCAATGTATGTATGTATGTATGTATGTATGTATGTATGTATGTATGTATGTATGTATGTATGTATGTATGTATGTATGTATGTATGTATGTATGTATGTATGTATGTATGTATGTATGTATGTATGTATGTATGTATGTATGTATGTATGTATGTATGTATGTATGTATGTATGTATGTATGTATGTATGTATGTATGTATGTATGTATGTATGTATGTATGTATGTATGTATGTATGTATGTATGTATGTATGTATGTATGTATGTATGTATGTATGTATGTATGTATGTATGTATGTATGTATGTATGTATGTATGTATGTATGTATGTATGTATGTATGTATGTATGTAATGTATGTATGTATGTATGTATGTATGTATGTATGTATGTATGTATGTATGTATGTATGTATGTATGTATGTATGTATGTATGTATGTATGTATGTATGTATGTATGTATGTATGTATGTATGTATGTATGTATGTATGTATGTATGTATGTATGTATGTATGTATGTATGTATGTATGTATGTATGTATGTATGTATGTATGTATGTATGTATGTATGTATGTATGTATGTATGTATGTATGTATGTATGTATGTATGTATGTATGTATGTATGTATGTATGTATGTATGTATGTATGTATGTATGTATGTATGTATGTATGTATGTATGTATGTATGTATGTATGTATGTATGTATGTATGTATGTATGTATGTATGTATGTATGTATGTATGTATGTATGTATGTATGTATGTATGTATGTATGTATGTATGTATGTATGTATGTATGTATGTATGTATGTATGTATGTATGTATGTATGTATGTATGTAATGTATGTATGTATGTATGTATGTATGTATGTAATGTATGTATGTATGTATGTATGTATGTATGTATGTATGTATGTATGTATGTATGTATGTATGTATGTATGTATGTATGTATGTATGTATGTATGTATGTATGTATGTATGTATGTATGTATGTATGTATGTATGTATGTATGTATGTATGTATGTAATGTATGTAATGTATGTAATGTGTATGTATGTATGTATGTATGTATGTATGTATGTATGTATGTATGTATGTATGTATGTATGTATGTATGTATGTATGTATGTGTGTATGTATGTATGTGTATGTATGTATGTATGTATGTATGTAATGTATGTATGTTATGTATTATGTTATGGTATGTATGTAATGTATGTATGTATGTGTGGATGTAGTGTATGTATGTATGTACGTAATGTATGTATGTATGTATGTATGTATGTATTTGTGTATGTATGTATGTATGTATGTATGTATGTATGTATGTATGTATGTATGTAATGTATGTAATGTATGTAATGTATGCAATATAATGTAATGTAATGTAAGGTAAGGCAATGTAATGTAATGTGTGTATGTATATATCCTTGCACTTCCCCTTTGCTCCCCAGTATTTCCCGCAAAAAAACACGGTGTTTCCAGCGTTTTCGCACAGAGGACGTCCAAAAACACAGAGGTTTTCCAGATTTTCGGAAAAAGGATGCAGGAAGCCCAAGCCAGCAAAAAAGCCGGCAGGGGGAATCGAGCCTGGGACCCCTGTTTTGCGACTGCCGAAAGCAAAAGATCCACAAGCGCATGTCCAGTCCTACTGTCCGCCAGTCGCCGAGGGACCTGCTTGTTGAGCAAGAACTCGATGAAGCTGTGCCGCAAATCCCTGAGCAGGTTCGTGGCACCTGGCGGTGGTACAGACCAGTCGGGGAAGGAAAGCACGCCCCCCCCCATCTTGTGATGCGCGGGGAAGCTACGTGTCAAAGCATCTGACAGTGAAAGCATATCCCCCTTAGACGGGACAAACAACGTAGACGAGCATTGGGAAAAACTCCGTGCTGGCGCCTCTGGATAGATTGCCGTCTGTTGACTGACGTAGCCACCCCATGCGTCCCGCAAGCCGCGTACGTCCAAGTGAGCTCCACGGTCGTGGCTGCACACAGTCGCAAATTGTGTCAAAGGTGCAAAAGTTGTTGCAAATAACCACGCCTTGTGAATAGAAACCCCAAAGGCACATGCGGGTATGTAAACAAGCGAAGCGGACACGTGAAGCAGAAAAGCAGTGACCACGGGCTCCTCCCAGCTCATTGCCGACAGTGGCTGCTCAAGGGAGACATGCCCTCCTGAATCAAATACAGCTGTCAGCAGCTGGCAACATCGCGTGAGAAGCTCACGGCTGTCCGTCACTCTTTGCAAGTCGTTGTCGGAAAGCCCAGGCAGAGTGCGCAGTGGGGGAGGACCCCCCCGGCTTCATACGTAGCCGGCTGTAAAGATGGCAAGGTGGCCCGGCCGCTGCCACCCGCACAATGCCTGAAAAGCAAAGTCGCAGAAGCAACTCATAGGAGCGATCGTCAAAAAGGTCGATGGCCTCCGGGGCCAGAACGTCAACCAGCAAAACATCCACCTGCAAATCCATCATTGCCGAAGCAAGCGGGAAGGTGGACCCGGAGCAAATGTCCAGAAAAATGCCTTGTGCACATGGGGGCAATGCATCTGACAAAGGTGTGGGTGAAACTGATTGAAGCACAGGCTGATCGAACGGAAAAGGCAGTGTGTCGGGCTGGCTTCCTTGGGGAGAACCCGACCGCATGTGTTGGTCGCCCGCCTCCAAAAGCAATGCTGGCTTTTCCTGTGGGTTGTGAGAAAGGGGCGTATGATCCTCGTCGCCAGCAGGAACCGCTCGTCAGTTGGCGGTACCTTTGTGCTCAACTGCTGGGTGCTTGCCCCCACACACCTTCTGTGTGGCTGGGTCTTGCACGCAGCACACGTGAAGAAATCGGCAAGTCTTGTCAGCGCAGCCCTTGCGCGTGTTGTAGCGCATGCAAAGAATTGTTTTGCCCGAAAAAGAAGCCGCCCAATTCTGTTTGCTCAGCAATTGCCCTGCATCTCCATGGCCTTTTCCAGAAGCACAGCCCTTGCCGGGCCGATCCGGCTTGCCCTTGCCGCCGGTCTTGCCCTTTCGCGGCTCGGTGCCAACAGGACGTGTAGCCGGAAAAGCTTGAATAGGAGCCGGGCGTGGTTGCAAAGCAGCCATGGCAGAACGAACCGTAACAATCTCGTGAATGAAATCGTCCAACGACCACCCGACTCAAAAAGCGTGCCTATTTCGGCCCATAACTGCTGATCCGCATGTTCCAGCTCTGAAGTAGAGGGTCCGCGCAAACCTGAACCAGGAGGAAACCTGTGCGAAGCTCGGGCAATGAATCCTTCAGGGTAAGCAAATGGGCTCCCTTCAGCAAAGCCACCCCCATGGTGTGCAGGTTGAGAATGCTGCTAAGCGCATACATACCAAGCTGGGGACTTATCTCCCGGGTCGGCGCATCATCGATCAGGAATTCGCTCAAGTCCAGCTTAGATCGCTTCGCAAAGCGAGGTCCAAGATCTCGCTCCTCCTGTTGACGGACGGAAAGCCGGAAACGCCAAGCACAAGAACGCCAATGCTTTTCGTGAATATTGCGGCATGTTGTCCCGGTCCAACAACTCCGAGGGACACCGAGAACTGAAATCCTGCTTCAAAGTTGACAAAGCCTCATGTGAAATCTTAGGTGGGAAAGTTTCCGACCACGAGCTGTTTGACGAACCTGGGGCAGTGACAGCCTCAGATTTGTCTGTTGTTGGTTGGTCCAGAGTTTGGCGGCGTTGCCGCCACAATAACCGAAGGGCTGCTCTGCTCAAAGGGTCGGAGAGCAGTCCCGAATCTATACCAACAGAAGAAAGCACACTGTCAACCTTGTTTTCTTGCGAAGTAATACACGCAAACAAAGGAGTAGTCCACTGATCCCCCAGGGATGCTGACGCTGAGTCCGGCACTCGGCAATCCCGAAGCAAAGCATGAAATGCCTCGGAAGCCGAATCGTCGTCCTCCCAGTCCTCCATAGTACCTGCACCGAACACAGTGGTTGCAAAGGAGACTGCCAACCCTGAAAGCAATCAAGCCACCGACGGAGGGCGCACCCACCGGACGCTAAAAGCAAGCTTGAGTCGCAAATCACATGCACATACTTGAGCCGTACATGAAGCAACATGTGTGCTGACGACTGCATGTTGCGATGCAAAGCAAGCGATCCGACGAAAAGCCCAATGAAAACCCCTTTTAAGCCGGAAGAGAACACTGTTGGCTATTGTACCGTCTGTGAAATAGACGAAGCGGCGGATGCATGTCTTGCATCCGCAAAAGCGTGAGAACACTCCAAAATGTGTCTCAAAGCAATGCTAGCCCCAACTGGGCATTGAAGCAAGCAAGCGGGCGGGGTGTTGAAGCTCACTTCCACCCAACTATGGTGATGGTCCGACTTCCAGTCCCAGGAGCCCCAGCCGTCATCCTGCTGAGTGTGCTGGGGAGTAGCTTGCTCTGCTGGAAGCTGTTGCGAAGCGAACTGGGAAAACATCTTGTCCCTCCGTGCTTCCCGGTAGCAATCCCGACACTGGCGGGGGTGCTGGTTCACTGCCCCCATCCCGGACCTCCCGCAATGTGCCTGCTGGCAGTGGTTGCATTGCGCCCGACATTCATAACGGTTGGCCAGAGCC